CTACAGGGAAAGCTTCCTCTAATAATGCGTGACCAACTTCTTTCAATCCTGTAAGCTCACAGCCGAATGACTAGCGGGTATCGGTTAGTTACTTTCCCTATGGCAATTTTATAGTGGAGTCCCCATCTATTTTCGATATCTTCTTCCTCAGTGTAACATTTCCACGAGTTTCTCTTTGCTCTGCGAAGTGCTGTTGGAAAGGTGCGTTTGGCATCATGGTATTCTTTTTTACGATGTTCTCTTTCAGTTTGTTCCCTGCTATGTTGATATAGGCGCCGTGACGGTTGAGCCATTGATTTTTTCTCCGCTACTCCAGGTGTCCACCATACTGGGTGGGATGAAAACGCACATAACCATCTGTGCCTTTGTTTCATTTTTGCCGCACCTAAGCCATGTTTGGTTATTTGCAGCTTGTTGTCTAGCACTGCTATTTATGCTTTTTTGATTATAGACGGAAGCATTCTTATTTATATTTGACAGTCGCATCTCCAATCCATCTGGCGAGCTCTTAGTCTCAACGAAGATCAATCTTTCGCGCTCTTCAACAGCCCTCTTCACATTTTTTTCCTATATGTTTTTATAGTCCTAAGCAGTCGTTTTCGGCACACCAGCTAGCGTTAGTCCTCTTTTCCTGACAACCTGTGCCCACGATCCTTCGCTTGCCGCTTGGGTGTGTCTGGGTTGGTCCAACTTTTTTAATGATTTCCTCACCAGGTTCAGCAGTTTTCCTTATTTTTGACGGCGTTCTTGAGACATTCTTCTTTTGGTGCTGATCTGTACATGTATTGGGCTCATTGATTCCGCTCTTGACTGGCGCTACACCTTTGGCTTGGGCATACGTTAGCTCATTAACTATATTTCTAATAGCTGGCACTAATGCTTTTATTACTCATCCGCTGTTACGGACATCTCCATTGGTCCTAGCTTGGGATGCAGCTAGCGCTGCACTTAAAGTGGCATTTTTGTTAAGAGCTTGACCAAGCATGCCCACTAGCTTGTCCACAGCACAATCCCTACCCTACACCATACACATGCCTAAGCTTTATAACTTATCCTTACCTATCATATTCCTAAGACGATCCCTAATTCTAATTAACTGTTTCTAACCCTAATCCTAACTCTACTTAATCTAACCACAAATGTGCCTAAGCTATTTAACTTTTTCTTACCTATCATATTCCTAAGCCGTTCCCTAACACTTAGCATGTTACCGACCCTAGGATAACCAAGTCCTACCAAACTTATTCCTAAGTCCTACTCCACTAACCTTCACGTTATCTAAAAGAACATAAACCAATTTAACCCACCCCTAATCTTAATCCTTGAGGAGGCGTAGGTAGCCTCCACGGTTAAGGCTTTGACAGGGCGTTCTTGTCTATAAAGTAAGGGTCCTAGTTCTAATCACGCGGTCCTATATTCGAACCCGACGTACTTACAATTTCTTTCTCTCCCAAAAACACTGGCATTCCGAAGGTTCATATAACGTTGTAGTTGAAATACTACCGTTAAAAAAATAGTATCCTATCGCTAATCTTAACCCTACCTAAAGCTAACTCTGCCAATCCTAATCCTACCTATTTTACTTACTTACTAACCAGTGCGACAGTCCTTAGAGCAGGACCTGGACCTCATCAATAAGTTTCCCCTTCAGGAGCCATCTCCTTACACCGATTCTCCTCCACATCGTCCAACCACCTAAGCCGAGTGCGTCCTCGTATTCTTCCTCGTGGCTTCCCATAGAGGAGTTTCCTTGGAAGACTATCTTGAGCCACCCTCTCCTCGTGACCCAACAATCTCAATCTTCCCTTCTTTATATGGTAAATTATATCCGACTGGCCAAATAATTGCTTTAGTTAATCATTCTTACGTACTTTCCAATCGCCATCTACCGAATATTTTCCCGAAACCCCAAGAATCTTTTCCCTTTCTTTACCCATCGCCCATGTTTCGCTGGCGTACTATTGGCCTTATAATCTCTTTGTAAGCAATAATCTTAGCCTTGCGAGATAGGTGCTTGAACTGCTGAGCTTTTGTACCGCAAACGGGCATCTATTCTTGCCTTTATTTCTGCCGTTACATCATTCTTTGTTACTAAGGGTCCTAGATATTTAAAATTACGGTTTCCAAATTGAACTGGCCCTTCTCCACATCCATGGGTTCTCGAGGTGGTCATATACTTAGTTTTACCCTCGTTAATTTCCAGATCGCGCTTCTTGCTGGCTTCCTGCAGTTTCTTAAGTGACTCCTTGTTCTTGCTGTAATTAATACGCCGTCCGTATATGCCAGATGTATCGATAATCGCCGTCTGGGTTTGTTCTAATGGCTACCGCTCTTTCCAAACAGAGATTGAAGATGACACATAATAGTACGCGTCATCACAGTGCAAATCTACTCTAACTAAAGCCTAAATACCTAACCCGACCCTAACCTTACCCTACCTAACCCAACTTTATGCAGTCCCTAAAGCTACGAACTAACCATAATATTACTTATTCTTCCGTAACTATTCCTAATCTAACCCTGTTATGCATGTTAAAAAGGTTTGAAAGCAGAATCCTTTTTACCATCCTAGAAGCTACTTTAGGTCTCCAATCGTACCATAACGTAATTACGTGTTCTGTTTGCCCTCTTTATGTTTTTAAAACAATCCGGAAACCTGTGCGGAACGTTTTATACCTAGGCCCTATAATAATTCACCGAGTGGAAAGAGCAACTTTCTTTCCTTTTTCTAAATTATCAGGGCAAACTCGGCTTTTGTCTTAAGTTTAATTATTCAGCCGTGCTCGGGAACACTTTCGCGTCGTGTACTAATTGCGGATTTAAAACCGGCCCCCCGGGTGAATAAAGGGACGTTAAGGACGTGAAAAGGGCCCTTGGAAATAATTAAACAAAACCTAAGAGGGCCAAACTCTTCGATACACTATTTTTAAAATTCTTTTTTGAGATTTTTTTTCTCGTCAAATTTTATTAAATGACCTGATTAAAAAAGGATCGAACCGGAAACGGCCGCTTGCTAACGAAAAGCTCGATAAAAAGCTCACGGCTCAGGATATTGACAGTAGGCAGCTTCCTGTTTTTTCACAGACTCCATAAAACTTAGGAAGGTACTTCCCCCCCCCAAATTCGATTAGAAATCAAAAGTGATCTGTTTAATAAATCAACCACCGCGTTGTAAGTGTAAAATTGGAAAATCAAAATATGGGGCCAATTTTCTCCCTGATTACAATTCTGAATATCGATCGACAATCTTAATTTAACCCTTTTCCTTCCACCCTCCTAACGCAAAAAAATGAGAGTAAATTATGACCGATGGGGAAGTCAATTATGCAATTATTGATTATTGAATCCCGTACGGGATTGGGATAAAAAGGAAACCTGGATGAAAAAGTTTATTCTTAAACCATAACGGGATTTGACCGATTCTCAATTTTTTAAATATTGTTTTCTTTTGGTTTTTTATTGCCATGGAGCGTTATTTGTAAACTCCAAGAGAAAATACATAAGAAAAAGTTCAATTAGCAAAAATAAACACAACGATTTCACACAAAACCAATATGACACCACAATTTACGCACCACACTTTAAGCCCTGAAGATGACCGGAATAAAGGTCGAAAAGGTCGGGGATAAAATGAAAAAGGTGTGAAAAAGTCTCGTACTTGACCGATCCTCACGACTTCGACAAATTATTAAATGAAGAGCTATTCCCGCATTATGACGTCACATGGCTAAGGGAATTCCCTTTCTTTCTGTGTTCTTTCTCGGTTCCTCCTTTATTTTACTCCTTTCCTCAACGTATATGAAAATTATTGTCGTGTAAAAAAAATGTTCATATGTGTTTGAATAGCATAGTTACTCCCCTATCATGACGTTATATTGGCAAACTTTATTTTTTAATTATTTTTATGACTCTGGCGACACTAATGACCTGACCCTCGCATAGGTCCCTGAGCACTCAGGGCATAGAGGCAACGAAAAGGTTGACATGTTGGACAAAGAACTGATACCAGAACGGAAAGAATGGACAAAAAAAAATGGAATACTGACGTCTCCAAAACCGACAAGTACACGGTAGATGGAGTCTTCGGGATGAACCCAAAGACCGAGCTGCCAGAAACCCTAGGCAAATATGCTACAGTTTTCCAGTAAATCATAGAGATTGAACACTGCGCCAGGGAAATAAAAAGGCTAGGAGTACATTCCTGTATAATAGCCATCTCTCTGACAGTCAGGCAGCTTCGAAGACCCTGGCCTAATGCGAGGTGAAGGCAAAGAGTGTTTGGAACTGCATGGAGTCTCTGGCAAAGTCAGCGACACAAATGACCTGAACCTGGCATGGGTCCCTGGGCACTCGGGGCATAGAGGTGACTAAAAGGTTGACATGTTGGCCAAAGAGGGACATGGACTCTCTGGGTCCTGAACCCTACTGTGGCTTATCATCCTGCCATCTTAAAATGGATCCTTAGCGAGTCCAAAACCTGGTGGAATAATATCACAAACATGAGGCACGCGAGGAGATTCATAGAAGGACCATCCGCAAAACTCACAAAAGAATTACTGGAAAGCAACCGCAATCGAAGCAGGATTCTGGTTGGACTCCTGACAGGGCACTACCACATAACAAAGCACATGCACCTGACAGGAGTAAACAGAAGAAACACTGCAGATATTGCCAGGAAGAGGAGAAGACCTCAGAACACATTTTATGTTTTTGGGAAGATCTATGTAGGTGCAGGTTCTTGCAACTGGGGCAAGAAAAACCGCAAGCAGATCCTACACCAAGGAACCGCTGGCAAAGCTGTGGAGGTTGATTAAAAACCTGAAGCTGGACAGTGAGTTATAAAAAACAGGGGAGCACATTAGATCAACAAAGGACGAGGTGTAGATGACCTTGTGGTTGCTTCTTTTATCCCTATCCCATAGTCTCTCTTTTTCTCAATGTCTTTTTCATTATTTTCTCGTTTTATATGGCCGTTTTATGATGACTAATTTTTTTTTCAGTTTCTGACTTCGCCCAGGAGCTGTCACAGATGTACGAGCATCACGCCGAAGAGCTCCAGCTGCTCGTGGGCAACTACAGAAAGAAAAACGCCGAATTGAGAAAAGACGGGTTGGTATTAAGAAAAAATATTTATGGAAAAGTCTGTAATCAAGTACAGCCCGCGGTAAATGGGTTTCAATTATTTCATCCCGCCGACGATTTATAAGTTGAATTCAATATTTAAAATTCAATCAGACCCGACTTAGGGAAAGCCTCTAAGCCCCCGGCCGTGGGTGGTTTTCTCCGTTTGAGTTATCGCCCAGTCCGGACCCCAGGTGGCCTCCAAAGACTTTAACTTATCCTTGATAAACGCCCAACATTTTTTTTATACACCTTCGTCATTTTGATAACAGGGTTATCTCTCCGGGAAAAAACTTCACTCTCTACCCGGTAAAACAACAAACTTTATTGTAAAAAAATGAGATTGTTGATTGGGTAAGCACAGTTGATAAGAATCGGCCGACAATGGACCAACAGATTCAAAATTTCATTATGTCATCTTGCTCATTGACCAGGTTAATTTTGAATATGGTAAATAAATCTTTAGTCAATTATGCTTGTTTTCTCATTGCAGGTCGAGGGGAAGCAATTCTATGATTCAGCTGTGGGAGGGTCTTCTCCAGGAGGTCGAGGCCGACTCCCAGGCCCATGGGGAGATCGCCTCCGTCCTAGGCCACCAGGTATCGAGGCACACCCTGGAAAGAACCTTCTACAGGAAGGTGCAGGCGAGGAAGATACTGGCCCACAGGGAGAGCCTCGACTCGGTCATCGCCAAGTCCGAGGAGACACTCAGCAAGGTAGTTGATTTTTTAAAATAAATTGACTGATCGATCCTGTATCGGGGTAGGGGTAATTAGCCCGATCGATCAATAATTGACACGTCCGGTTCATGACGGATGTTGAAAGGATGATTGATCGACCGTCACAGTCAATGAGTGGATCCCAATCATCAAAATTTCTATTTTACCCTACTAAAAAAAAACCCTCTTCTCAACCCGGAAAATGAAAAATGAATATGAAATAAGATGGAAAATAAAGGCTGGAGAAAACCCTTTCCCAAAGACCAAATATTTTAGTGTTTAATTATTTTCTTTTTAAAATTTATTTATTTTAATTTAAAATCAAGAGGCCTTGTGGCATTTTTTTCACGCGGGTATAAAAGAATTGGAGTTGGTCCAACTGGTCTGCCTGGCCATTGTGGGATGACGCTAAAACTGTAACCAATACTAACACAGACGCGTCGGAAATATAGGTTTGTACGCTTTATTTATCTGAGGATGTGTCACGTTTTAAATCTGGCCTTGTAAATTAAATTAATGATGACGGCGTGAAAGGTGCAAACTACACAGAAACAAGGGTCAAAGTAGGCCCGAGAAAGAGGGCAAGTTTAGCAGTTCACCCATATGACGTTATAATCGGGGAGTAAAGGACTCATTTCAGTAAATATTTTAATTCATTTCATACGGAGTGAGAGATGATTATGATGAAGTAGTTGAACTACTACTGAACTACGAGAGTACAAATGAATTTTTCATTTTACAAATGTACTCATACAACGATAAATAGCAATAAAAAATACATGACAAAACTTTTAGTTAACCAATATGACGTCACAATCGGGGAGTAAAGGACTGTAGAAACTTAATGAATTTGTATCATTTCAGTAAATATTTTAATTCATTTCATACAGAGTGAGAGCAATACCTGCTTTGGCTATTTACCAATATGACATCATTATTAGGAAGTTAGCAAGTAGTTGAAGGACTACTAAACTACTATGAATTTTTTCATTTTACAAATGTACTAATAAAAAAAAAGAAACTTTTCAGATCACCAATATGGCGTAACAGACGGGGAATGAATGAGGCAATTCTTGAACGACGCATTGAAATTTTTCTTTACTGATGTCGATAAATATTATTTATATAAATATATGAAAATGAAGATCTCCGATTAAAACAACTGCAGGACACAAATTTAATGTGACGTTCACACGGACACCATTGTGGCATCACTGAAAATATGACGGCAGTCCTAGCAGGAAAACTGGCTACATGCAACGGCGTCCCCTATCGGTTCTTCCAAAGGACTTTTCCTCGGTCGTGAAACGGATAAAATGACAAAATGAATGAGAAAACACCAACGACAACAAACAGAGGGGAATAAAAAACACATCCCCGAGAAAGAACCGGCGTGAGCAAATGGTCTAACAGACTGAGGATAGGGCACACGGGTACTTAATGGTACCAGTGCGTGCATGATGGGCCAAGCCACTGTCGGTGAAGCAATTGGACTGCCCCATTTGAGATTTACATAGATTAGTCAGTAATGTGACAAACCTCCTCGATGAAAGATCGAGGTGTATGGATGAAAGGTTTCCGTTCCTTAAAATCTCCAATCTATACCTAAAGTTTAACACAGCTTATATGCCAAATAAAATATCTAACAACCTCAGTATAAAAGTAATCCAAAAACTAGTTCTTCTTCAGATCTGATTTATCTTGCTCAATTAATTTTCCTTTTGGATCAACTAGGGTTAAGAAATAATATTAATTTATTAGTTAAAGCAAGGCAAGGAATTAAGGCAAAGTAGCCCAGATGGTTTTAGGGATAAAAACGTAATCAGCAATATATACCAATAATAAATAAATACCTGGGGCACCAGTGGCAGCAACGGTTTAGGCATTGACACGGCGCTCATCACTATAAGGCAAAGGTCCCGGTTCGAATCCAGCGGCCCTACTACATTCGAACTCGACAATCTTACAATGGTTTTTTTTTTCAAAAACACCGGCACCCCGAGGGTTGATATAACCTCTGCTGTTGCGAACCCTCGTAAAAAAAATATAAAAAAATAAGAAGAAAATAAAAATAAATACCGTCAATAGTTCACCAATATGACATCAGAGTCAGGGAGTGCTTGAAGCTATTCACAGAACTATGAAATTTCACTTTTACAAATATACTAATAACAAGAGCTACAAATAGAGAGAGTAAATAGAGGAGAGAGAGAGAGAGAGAGAGAGAGAGAGAGAGAGAGAGAGAGAGAGAGAAAGTTTGTGGTTCACCAAATATGACATCATAATCGGTAGTAATTGTACTATTAATAAACTATGAAACACAATTGCACTTTCGATCCTACAAAATTAGCAAATGACGATAAACGCAAATAAATAAATATAATAAAAAGAAGAGTGAGAGTAAGAAAGATATTTTACGTTTCACCTATTTGACGTCACAATTGGGGAGTAAATAAACTAATAAATCATTTGGAGATCGTTAAATGCGGTCTGGTGTGATGTAGGTTTTAGAAAAACATTTTCTTTATCGTGCCAACATTTGCTCTTTATTGAGATCATCTTCAGGGCTCAAAGTGTTTGTTTTCTGTGTAGATGTGTCATTCTTGTGTGTCGTGTTGAGAGTGCCCACACACACACACACACACACGCACACACACGCACGCACGCGCGCACACACACACACACTCAACACGACACACAAGAATGACACATCTACACAGAAAACAAACACCAGACCGCATCTCACGATCTCCAAATAATTATTGACTAACGGTCACTAAACACCGCACATAAACTAATATACTTGAAGGACGACTTGAAACTTCGCTTTTTCAAACAGATCGTAGTCGAAATGTTTGGGTTATTTTTTTGTTGTACTTCCATTTTTACATATTGTTGTTCTTGTACATTAATGTTATTTTTTTTGTCTGTTTCAGTGCAGGCAGGAATACAAGGCGGCGTATCTGAGCCACATACAGGCTCCGATGTCGAACACGTCCCTCTCCGAGTATCTCGACGCGCACAACACGTACGTGACTCAACTGCACGCGACTAACGCCATGGTCGACACCTATTGCCGGGAGACACTGCCGGAGCTGTTAACTGTAAAAATCCGACTCTAATTATACGGAAAAAAATCCCCCGTTGCATTATAAACGGAACGTTGAATTCCATCGTCTCCCCTTGACCGAATTTCTGTTCCAGGAGTTGGAAGAGGTGTACAACGACCTCTGCACCACGCTGTCCGAGGCCATAGCGCAAGGGGCCGAGATCATTTCGAACAGGGTGGGTAAACGGATCAACGCCAGACCATTAATGGGGGGGGGGAAAGGGGTCGAAATAAAGTTTGATTTTCGTAAAGGGGTGAACAGACCCCCCGAACTAGATTTACCCACGGTCCAACCCTTCTGAAAGGAGGAAGAAAGCAAACTTTCCCATTTGAAATGACCAAACGACCCCAAAATCCCGATTCAATTTTATAAAAAAAAAACCTTTAGGTTCAAAGCTGAAGCCTCCTAAACTTCCGACCGAGCCGGCCTAACTTTGAACTTTGACAAGACGCCAGGGTAAATTGAGTGAAGGGGGCCAGGGCTAAGAGCCAAAACAATCTTTCCAAGCCAATAAAGCCATCCTTCATCCAAGCGAGAAATTAAAAATTGACAGGGGCGATATTTTTTCCTCCTCCTTCTTAATTTAATAACCCTCCATAATAAAAATCCAATTAGGTTGTTTATAAGAAAATGTATTCTCAAGCCTGGAAATGAGAACAAAAGGAGAGTAAACGAAATCGAAGAACAACAATTAAAATATTGGTGAACGAAAAAAAATCAATTTTATAGATTTGTTGATCAGATAATACGTGATAGGAAGAATTTTGAATGGTGGTGAATAACGGCGTGGGTGAAAGTAGATTTGATTGAACAATTCAGTTGGCGGACGGCAAAGGGCGTGAATGAACGACAGTGTGAATGGACAATTGAGTTGGTGTTTGACTGAATGACCCAGTGGAAGAAAGCGTGTGTGAAAAATTGAGCCGGTGGACGCGAAAGGGAATAAGTGAATGACTTACTGGGTGAACGAACATTTGTGTTGGTGGGCGGGAATGAGCGAATGATCGATAGTGTGAACAAACAACTGGGTTGGTGAACGCGAAATGGAATAAGTGAATGACTTACTGGGTGAACGAACATTTGTGTTGGTGGGCGGGAATGAGCGAATGATCGATAGTGTGAACGAACAAATGGGTTGGTGGACGGGAATGAGTGAATGATCTACGGTGTGAATGAACAATTGAGTTGGTGTTTGACTGAACGGCCCCGTGGGAGAAAGCGTGTATGAATGAGCAATTGAGTTGGTGGACGTCAAAGGGAGTGAATGAATAATTGGGTTGATGGACGCGAAAGGGAATGAGTGAATGACTTACTGGGTGAACGAACAATTGGGTTGGTGAAAGGGAATGATCGACAGTGTGAATGAACTATTGAGTTGGTGTTTGACTAAATGACCCAGTGGGAGAAAGCGTGTATGAATGAGCAATTGAGTTGGTGGTCTGGCTAGAGAAAGGTTGAACAATTCGATGGACCAATAACAGTAAAAGAATTACTGAAATGATTATGTGACCTGGTGAATGGCTGAATGAAAAACCGGACAAATTAGCAAACGATTGTGGGTGAATGTCTCTGGTGGTATAAAAAAGGTGAACGAGGGAAAGAAGTCGGGTGAATGACTGACTTGTCTATGACCGGTCTATAGTTCATTTTACAATTGTCCCTTCTTTTTCGTACTATACGAATCCGACATGGCATTTAGGGCGACCCCTTTTGCCAAAAAACGCAACCCCTCGTTGCAACAGGTCTGGAGGTCTTCCATTTTCAACCAGCTCAACATTTTCACGATCTGTCTTCCAGGCTGGAGCCCAGTCGAGGAGATACTGCACGATCTGGGGCGATTCGAAGGCGGTCGACCCGACGTCGGACACGGCAGCTCTCGTCCGCAACTCTGCGGTACCGAGTCAACCACACCCGACCCACAGGCTTCGGCTCTTCACGCCTCCTCACTCCGAGGACCAGGTAATCGATGCTCGGGCATTTTTTCCGTTTTGTTTTTGACGACGGCATCGATCCGTCCCGACAGTCAGATGGGACCAGTTCGCGACCGAGTCCCGACAAATTGCGCGTCACCCTCAGAGAACAAAACCCTTTATTCGACCCTCAAAGAAATCTGGACCAGGATAAGTCAGAATTAGGTAGGTAAGACAGAAGATATTCTTGAAGCACAGTTTTTTTCTACCATTATCGCAGACCCTTCGGAAAAGGAAAACCGGACGCCTAAAATTACCCCCGATCATCCTAATCCGCTCTGACAGCGTCGGAATCGTGTGCAACTTGATTGGACTGGACGGACCCCCTAGAGGTTTGAGCCAAAATCAACCGGAACCACTCTTATTTATCGGAAATTCTCAACATCAAACATTTTTCACCACGGTTTTCATACAAGAATTAGTTATTTTTGACTTGAAATATTGATTCACATATTTTTTTTTCAAGTAATCATTTTTTACCTGGAATATATAGTATATTCCAACAAGTCATTTCGACCTTATATTCTTTTTATTTCAAGAAGACATTTTTTACATGACTTTTTATTCAAATACCTAGTCATTTTCGACCTGAAACAGTTTTTTAAGCATTTTATTTTAAGTAGTTAGTTTTCACCATACATTTAAAAAAAATTATATTTAAAAATTTTTGTAAATGTTTTTACCTGACCTCATTGTTATTATATTTTTAGTAGTCCATTTTATCCTGCATAGTTTTTCCCATTTCAATTAATTATGTTTTACTTGCAATTATTGTTATGATCTATTCCAACAAGTCATTTTGACCTAGTATTCCTTTTATTTAAAGAAGTCATTTTGTACGACTTTTTATTCAAATAGGCATTTTCAACCTGCAACAATGTTTAAGCACTTTATTTTAAGTAGTTTTCACCATACATTAAAAAAAATATATTTAAAGATTTTTGTAAATTTTTTTACCTGACCACATTGTTATTATATTTTTAGTAGTCCATTTTGTCCTGAATAGTTTTTCCTATTTCAATTAATTATGTTTTACTTGCAATTATTGTTAAGATCTATTCCAACAAGTCATTTTGGCCTTGTATTCCTTTTAGTTCAAGAAGTCATTTTGGACGAATTTTATTTAATAGGCATTTTCGAATTGCAACAATGTTTAAGCATTTTATTTCAAGTAGTCATTTTGTTACCTGTAACTATTTTAATAATTTATTTCAAGAAGTTATTTTTTTACATGACTTTTTGTTCCAACAGTCCGTTTTCGTCAATTTTTTTTACCTGACCATATTCTTATTACATTTTTATAGTCAATTGTGACCTGAATAGATTTTTCCCTTTTAATTAATCCTTTTTGACCTGTAATTGTTGTTATAATCTATTCCAACGTCATTTTGACATTATATTCCTAACATTTCAAGAAGTCATTTTTTACTTGATTTTTTATTCAAATAGTAATTTTCGACCTGAAACATCTTTTTAAATATTTTATTTTAGGTTGTCATTTTTACCTGCAATGATTTTTATAACCTATTTCAACAAATCATGTCGACCTTATATTCCTTTTATTTCAAGAAGTCATTTTGTACATGACTTTATATTAAAATTGTCATTTTCGACCTCGAACAATGTTTAAGCATTTTATTTTATGTAGTCATTTTTTACCATACATTTTAAACAATTATATTTAAAGGTATTTTATCATTTTTTCCACCTGACCACATTTTTATTACATTTTAATAGTCAATTTTGACCTGAATAAAGTTTCTTCTTTAATTAGTCATTTTTCACCTGAAATTATTTTTATAATCTATTTTTCAACAAATCATTTTGACATTACATTCCTAACATTGTATTTCAATAAGTCATTTTATATACGATTTTTATTCAAATAGACATTTTTGACAGGAAACATTTTTTTAAATATTTTATTTTAAGCACTCATTTTTATCATACTAAAAAAATTATGTTTAGTTAATTTTTTTGACGACCAAATTTTTTATTACATTTTTCGTAGTCAATTTTGACCTGAATAAATTTTCCCGTTTCAACTAGTCAATTTTTACCTGTGATGCCGGCCGGCTAACTATTAAGATCATTGCCGTTTAGGTGGAATTATTTTTATTGTATTAATTTTTGTATTAAATGATTTTATTATGTTTATTTATTATATTATTTTATTATAGTCAAACATTGTGACCTGAAATTCTTCACATTCTATTTCAAGGAATCATTTTTTTATATGAATTTTTATTCAAATGGTCATTTTCGATCTGAAAATTTTTTCGAAGCATTTTATTTTAAGTTGTCATTTTTACCACAGTTTTAAAAATTATATTTAAAGCTTTTTTATAAATCTTTTTACCTGACCACATTTTTATTACATTGTTAATCGTCAATTTTGATTTGAACAAAAGTCAATTTTTTATTTATAGTTTATAATATAATCTATTCCACTCATTTTTGTACTGATTTTTATTTTTAAATTGAAATAATCTTTTTTTGACCAGAATTATTTTGTGAAAGTAGTATTTTACGTAGTCATTTTTTTGACCTGAAGTATTTGTTGAAAATTATATTTATTATAAGTAATCAGTAATTTCTGAAGTGAATATTTTTTTTTCTATTTGAAGTAGTAATTTTTGACGTGAAATTTTTTAAATAATCTATTCTAAAAAGTCTTTTTTGCCGGACCATTTGTTGATATTGTATTTTGAGTAGCTATTTTTTACCTGGCGAGTTTTTTTTAACTCCAATTGAAGCAGTCATTTCTGTGTTTTTTAAAATTTTATTTTATTCCCAAAAAGGCATTTTTTATCTGAATAGATTTTTTTAAAGTTTGCAAGTAGTCATTTTTTAGTACCGTGTTTCATTCTTGATTAAAACCTATTTAATTTTAATTAATACAAGGAAATATATTTAAAAAAATCGTGTAAATAAAAAAATCACGATAAGACATAAAGTCAACCATCTTTTGACCCGTTCTGCTGCTGAAACCCCCACACCTCAGAAGCTCAATCTATAGTTTCATGTCTCAAAAGTTCTTTTTGTCCTTCAGGAAGGAGCGGTAGCCCAGTTGAAGAACACCCTCGTCGTCGACCGACCTGCTTCGATCCAGGTGCAGAGCACCTTCGAGAGTTTGAACAGCGAAGCGGACGGACTCCAAGCGCAGATTCAACACTTGCAGGATTCACTTTCAACAATGCTCAGGATACAGCAGAGGTGAGATTTTCCCCGAGGAAGACGAGTCAGAACGGTTAGATCGATCGTGAACCACCGCTGTTTTTCCGCTCGTTTAGAACCTTCATCAATAAACAACCGTCGAAAATCCTCTAGGGTTTTTCTATGTGTTTTTTTGGCTGTATAAATGACGAGCCGGAATAAGAGGCCAACGAATGCAAATGTATGCAAAATGTACACGGGCAAATGAATTTAGGCCCGGCTGGCTGCCCTTTTGGCCTCGATTCCCTAGATTGGGAATGTACGCGGTTTTTGATTCATGTTGGACGTTTTTCCAATTTTCCCACCGCTCGATCGTCCAGCGTGATTGGGAAAAAAGGGATTGTTTTTTCATATTCAATCAGTCATTTTTACCTGAGGCCGAAATTCGCAAATTCGAACATTTTTTAACCACGTTTGTCCAATATGAAGTAGGCATTTTCAACCTGGCATTTTTTTTTAAATTGTATTTCAAGTAGACATTGTTGAACTGAATAATCTTTTATATCTTTGCAAGCAATCATTTTTGACCTTAATATATTTTTGTTATATTTTATTAGTCGTTTATGGCGTGAATAATTCTTTTCAAGCAGTCATTTTCGAATCGAACAACTTTTACTCTAGTTCACGTATCATTGTTGATCCGCACACTTTTTATTTATATAATTTATCATTTTTTACTTAATTTTTTATCTATTTCAAATAGTCATGATCCCAGGAATCATTCATTTTTGAAGTTAATATTTTTTAAACTATTTCATGGAGGCATTTTTACCTGAACTATTTTTCATTCTATTTCAAGCAGTCAGTTTTGACTTGAACTTATTATTATATTATATTTTTAGTAATCAATTTTGGCTTGATGTTAATATTCTACTTCCTCGTAGTAATTTTTGATCTGAGCAATTTGTTAAAACTGTTTCAACTAGTCAGTTTTAGCTTGTTTTTACCTTGATTATTTCTCGCACTACTTCAATAGTCATTTTTTAACTGGGCTATGTTTTGCATTCCATTCTAAAAAATCATTTTTTACCTGAATTTTTTGAAATTAAATATTTTTACTAGAACTTTTTTAATTCTATTTCCAGTAATCATTTTTTACCTGGCCTTTTTTTTATTAAATTTCAAGTAATCGTTTTAACTGAACTTTTTAAAATTCTATTTCAAGTGATCATTTTGAACTTGAACTTATTATTATATTTTGACTTCATGTTTTTATTCTACTTCCCAGTAGTAATTTTTGGTTTGACAAATTTTTTAAACTATTTCAAGTAGTCATTTTTACCTTGATTATTTTTCATTCTACTTCAAGTAGTCATTTTTTAAATGGACTATTTTTTGTATCCCATTCTAACAAATCATATTTTTACCTGAACTTTTTAAATTCGATTTCAAGTAATCTTTTTTTACCTGAACTTTTTTAGTCAAATTTAGGGATGGCTAGGTCAATTTCAAGTAATCGTTTTATCAGAACTTTTTTAAATTCTATTTCAAGTGAACATTTTGGACTTATTAATCATTTTTGACTTCATGTTTTAATTCTACTTCGTAGAAGTAATTTTTGGTCAGACAAATTTTTTGAACTATTTCAACTAGTCATTTTTACTCTGATTATTTCTCATTCTACTTCAAGTAATCATTTTGTAATTGTGCTGTTTTTATTCCATTCCAAAAAATCATTTTTTACCTGAACTATTTTTTAAAACTATTCCAAATAGTTATCTTTAGCTGAACTATTTTTGTTCTATTAGGAGAAGTCACATTTTTTACCTGAACTATATTTGATTATATTTGAAGTAGTCAATTTTGATTTTTAGTAATCAATTTTGACCTGATGTTTTTAAACTATTTCAAGCAATCATTTTAACCTTAATTATTTCTCGTTATACTTCAAGTAGTCATTTTTGACCTGATCTACTTTTTATTATATTATTTAATAATCAATTTCGACCTTAACTTTTATTTATTCTACTTCAAGTCATTTTTGATCTTCTCAATATTTTGTTTTATTTCAAGTAGTCATTTCCTGCCTAAATAATTTTTCATTCTACTATAACTAGCCATTTTTCTCATATATTTTTTAATTAGCATTTTTTAAAATTCTATTCTAAATAATCATTTTTGACTGGACAATTTTTTAAATTTTATTTCAAGTATTTTTTTAATCTGAACTATTTTTTCATTCTATTTTAAATAGTCATTTTTGTCCTGTAGTTTTTTTAAAATTATATTTCAAGCAGTCGTTTTCACCTGAACCATTTTTTTATATTCTAATTTATGCAGTCATTTTTCTGAATGATTTTTCTTTCTGTTACAAGCTGTCAAGTTTAACCTGAATTATTTCAAGTAGTCATTTTTACCTGAATTATTTTGATTTTATTTCAAGTACTCTTTCCTTATATTATATTTCAAGAAGACGTTTTCGCTTGACCCATTTTTTAATATTTTATTTTATGTAGTCATTTTTCTGAATGATTTTTCATTCTATTACAAATAATCATTTTTGACCTGAATTATTCCAAGTAGTCACTTTTACCTGAACTATTTTTATTCTATTTCAAGTACTCATTTTTTCCTAAACTGTTTTTTATTTCATTTCGATTAGGTATTAATTTTTTCCTGAACTATTTTTTATACTATTTAAAGTAGTCATTTTATACACGAACTATTTTTTTAAAATTCTATTTCAATTACTTATTTTTACCTGAACTATTTTTATTATATTTTAAGTAGTCATTTAAAAAAATATATAAAAAAATTTAAAAAATACCTCCACCATCTGGCAATTCCCACAAAAATAAAAAGAAGAAAAAAGGCAGACCGACTGAAAATAATTTGATAGATGCAAATAGAGACCAAATTGAAGAAAATTCTATACCAAATGGGATCCTCACAATTGGTAGCAATATGCTATCATGTTTTATTACAGCAAATCCATTTGCTTCATTAGCGGAGTTGAACGAAGAAAATAAAACAGCAAGAGGCGTCGGTGGCCACAACGGTTTGGGCGTTGACACGGCGCTCATCGCTCTAAGGTAAAGGTCCCGGGTTCGAATCCGGCACTTCCAAATGGGCTTATTTTCAAAAGCACCGGCACCCTGAGGGTTTATATGACCTTGGCTGTTTTATGACTAACAGCTGAGTCTAAGCAACCTCCCAGACCGGTTAAACCACCACCTATATTCCTTAAAAACATTGTCAACTACTCTGACTTTTGCAAGGCAGTGAACCTTGTTGGTGAAAATGGTTAAAGCAGGATACAATAGTATACGCCCACTCAGTCGATGCGTATCGAAATTCGATATTTAAAAACACAAAAAGCTGAATATCATACCTATCAGATTCAAGAAGATAAGGCTTTTAGGGTCGGTATGCGTCACCTTCACTATTCTACGCCCCCAGAATTAAAGAAGAACTAGAGACCATTGGATGTAATGTTAGAAGCGTGATCAATGTAAAAAATCCCACTTCAAAAGCTAGTCTTCCCCTGTTCTTTATTGACCTGGAACCGAACCCTATAAATGAACAAATCTTTACATTGAGCAGTCTTCTTTATACAAAAATTAAGGCAGAAGAAGCCTACAAAAAAACAAATACCTCAATGTAAAAGGTGTCAAGGTTATGGTCATAAGAAATTTCTTTGTAACTATTTCCCGCGTTGCGTGAAGTGCGCTGGCTCTCACTTGACAGCAGATTGTACCAGACCACGAGAGGAACCCGCAACATGTGCGCATTGTAGAAAAAACAACTCTGCAAATTATCATGACTGTACTTCCTACAAGGAACTACAACTATTGAAGAGATGACCATCCTTTGCAAGTAGTTCCGTCGCATCGAGTCCAACGCCAGTTCTCAAGCTATGCTGAGGCGTCGAAGCAATCGTTAAACCCTCCCCAACCTCAACCTCATAACACTTTCATTCTATCTCCTTCACCGTTCAGCTATGTAACTTCACTTCTTTCTAGTTTCCTTAGCGATTTTAAGTCACTTATTACACCTCTTCTAACACCCCTCACAAGTGTAGTGAATCAGATCCTTCCAAAGCTTGCCGGCTAGTCGTCTCTTCACAATCATTACTCATTCTTCTTTGGAATGGTTTGAGCTCCCACAAAGACGAATTAACATGATTCTACATGGAAAACGAATAGTCATAGCACTAATTACTGAGACACATTTAATAACTCTTTTCTTACTATCAAAGACTACTTTACTTACAGGACAGGGCGCAAGGCGGCACTGCTATACTCATCGCACTTTATCACACTTTGTAAACACGTCATATATACTTGCATCACCTTAAATACCTCCTTCTTCCAATTGAATATTGCAGTTGTGTATTGTCCTCCTAAACAAGATTTGTCATTCCTATCCGTTCACTTGGACCTTATTTCATTGTCCAAGTGAACGGAACTTCCTTAACCTCCTAATCTTCAACAACTTACACTGTTATTACACCTCCGAACCCAACAAATTATCCAACGTATCGTAAACTTTCTGATTATTTTATAACATCCGGAATCTCTTCAACCCATCTGGATATTTCAAACTTTTTTGATTTTCCTTCGATCATACCCCGGTTCAATTAATCCTAAATTCTGCCCCTTCCTTTGTACCAAAACTGGACCTACAATATAAAGAGTGGAAACACCCGGCAGATGCTATTGACATCCTGTATCTGCATACTACCGAAATGGCCGATGTTGATTATATGTCTATATATACTGACGGAAGCAAATCAGAGGTTGGTGTAGGTAGTGCTTTTGTTCATTAAATAATCAGGCCGAACTTTTGGCCATTCTGAAGAGCTTGCAATGGGCTATGAATAAAAAATCAGAAGGGAATATTGCCAAATTTATCATTTTAAGTTACAGTCAAGTGTCCTTAGAATCAATTAATAATTATAATAATCATGGCTTTTTGCCTGAGCAAATAAGGAAAATTATTCAAACTCTAGTCAAACAGAATGTTAATGTACAACTAGTCTGGGTTAAGGCTCATTGCGGAATAGAGGGAAATGAAGAAGCTGACAGACTGGCCAAATTACCATCTACTGACGAGAGTTTGAATTTGGCATTCACCAAACTTCCAGTCATCAATTATAAATAAACTTTTCGAAGAGAGCCTGGAAAAATGGGAAAATGCTTGGTCAAGGACAAATAATGGAAGGCAGACAAGAAAGTTCTTTCCCAAAGTTGACGAAAGATTCCGGCCGCACATCCAACTATCCGCACCACTAACCCACATCTTAACCGAACACGGCCCAAACTATTTTTTCCGCTTTAATCTAAGAGAATCTTCATCATGCTCATGCCTGCCTAATTTCCCAATAGAGCAAAGCATTAGGTCACGATAGCTCAAGTGGTAGAGCAGCGGCGTATCTAGCCGAAGATCGTGGGTTCGAATCCCGCTCGTGCCATTAGCTTTTTTTCTTCTCAACTAAAAACCTTAATTAATTGTAAGTTATTTATTATTATTTAACAGTTTCAGTAATTGTCTTTTCGTCATGATATGAATCTGATATCCCAATACGTATATGTAACGTTTCGATTGAATGTACCGCCTTGCCCCTCCACACACATCTGACAGCGAAAGGAGTAGGGGCTAGGAAAGGGATATTTTTTCAATCAAAAAAACAATTCCCTTTCTGTCGTATTTTAATTTAAAAAAGGGTTGTCACAAAAAATATATTTTATAAAGAAAACTAAAAGAGATAGCATTTGATTTTAAAAGTTATGTTAAAATAATAATCGGATTTTAATTTAAAAAAGGGTTGTCACAAAAAATATATTTTATAAAGAAAACTAAACGGGATAGCATTTGATTTTAAAAGTTATGTTAAAATATTAATTGTATTTTGTAATTGCTGGTCAAAATTTAATAATAATAGCAATAATAAATTTATTTTACTTTTCTTTATAAAACGAGAATTAAATTCGAGTTTAAAATTAATGTTTTTAGATTCAGAAATAGGTTTTATTATAGAATAAAAGATTCTTTAAATTAAAAATAATTTTTTTTGAAAATAAATTGTAATAAAAGATTTAAATTTAATTAATATTTTGGTCGCGTATTTATTTTGGTTTGAATTCAATATTTGAATGGAACATATTAAAAAAAGTTGCCTGATCAATAAATTAAATAATAATATTATAATATTTTGTATGAAGCATGTAGAATAAATATAATAATAAAAAAAATGTTAACCTAGACATATCTCTAAAAACTGCAGAAGAAATTGACAAAGCCGTAGATTTTACGAAATTAATACATCATGCAGTATGGTTCCAACCTCTTTACAACCACCTCGAAATAATCAACAGTTACTATTACCTCCATACATTCGGCTACTCCTAACTGAAAAGCGAAGAGCCAGGGAAATCAGATATGGCAACAGATATCCGAGTGATCATCGACGGATGAACCAACTCGCGAGAAAATTGAAACAAGAACTGGTCAAACTTAGGGGTTAAATATCCAAACAATATACTTCGCTTTCCAAAACAGACAAGTCTTTGTGGTATGTACCTGTAAGATCCTGCGATATAAGGAGGCTTTACGTTTGGGCCAAATCCAATTCCAACAAAGCTGAATTGTTTTCAGAGTATCTTCACTGCACACCATGACATACTTGATTATAACCATCAGCATAACACTGAACACGACTTGAATGTCACCTTGCAACTCTCTCCTCCTTCTAAAGCTTTTACTCCATCAGGCATACGACACACTATTAAACTACCTTTACGAAAAGCTCCAGGCTATGATCTAATTACAAAACAAATATTACAAAATTTCCCCCGCAGAGGCTTATTATACTTAACATACCTATACAATGCTGTACTCAGCACCACATAATTACCATTGCAATGGAAGTTCTTTATAATTAAAATGATTCATGGGCCAAATAAACCTTCTGATCTTACAAGTTCCTATGGACCCATTAGTGTCCTTTCTATCCTTGCAAAAATACTAGAAAAACTACTCCGATTATTGCCAATAATTGAAAATTTTAATAATATTCCAAATCATCAGATTGGAATCCGCTGATTTCACTCGACAACTCAATAAACACATCGTATTGCTGACATTTGCCTCTTCCCTCGAACAAAAACAGTATTGCTTGGGTGTCTTTCTTGATTTAGAACAGGCCTTCGATCGAGTCTGACATTCGGGCTTGCTTTGGAAAATGAAGAACATCCTACTTCAGACGTACTATACTGAGATCTTATCTGACGGATTTTGCTGAGTTCGTCGGGAACTGAATCTTCTCCTTATATACGCATCAGGGCGGGTGTTCCTCAGGGAAGCATACTTGGCCCATTTCTATTTTCAATATACACTGCAGATATTCCAACACATACAACACGTTGATTCTATTTAAAGTACTCATTTTTCCTAAACTATTTTTTTATTCTATTTCAATTAGACATTTTTACCTGAACTTTTTAAAATTAAATTTCAAATAAGCATTTTTTACCTGAACTTTTTTAAAATTCTATGTCTAGTAATCATTTTTACATGAAGTATTTTTTAAATAATATTTCAATTACTTATTTTTACCTGAACTATTTTTATTGTATTTTAAGAACTCTTTTTTCGCCTGAACTACAGTTCATTCTATTTAAAGTACTCATTTTTCCTAAACTATTTTTTTATTCTATTTCAATTAGACATTTTTACCTGAACTTTTTAAAATTCAATTTCAAATAAGGATTTTTTACCTGAACTTTTTTAAAATTCTATGTCTAGTAATCATTTTTACATGAAGTATTTTTTAAATACTATTTCAATTACTTATTTTTACCTGAACTATTTTTATTGTATTTTAAGAACTCTTTTTTCGTCTGAACTACAGTTCATTCTATTTAAAGTACTCATTTTTTTTATTATACATATTTCAATTAGACATTTTTACCTGAACTTTTTAAAATTCAATTTCAAATAAGGATTTTTTACCTGAACCTTTTTAAAATTCTATGTCTAGTAAACATTTTTTACACGAATTATTTTTTTAATTCTATTTCAATTACTCAGTTTTGCCTGAACTATTTTTATTATATTTTAAGTACTCTTTTTTTGTCTGAACTATACTTCATTCTATTTAAAGTACTCATTTTATTTTTTCACTCTATTTAAATTAGTCATTTTTGCCTAAACAATTTATATTATATTTAAAGTACTCATTGTTTACCTGAACTTTTTTAAATCCAATTTCAAATATGCATTTTTCACCTGAACGTTTTTAAAATTCTATTTCAAATATTCATTTTTTTCCTGAACGTTTTTTATTCAATTTCAAGTAATCATTTTTGATCTGAAGAAGATATTTTATTTCAAGTAGTCATTTTTGACCTGAACTATTTTTTATTTTATGGAATCATTTTTTATCTGAACTCTTTTTTTTTAATTTGAAGTAGGTAGTCATTTTATACCTGAACATTTTTTGTATTCTACTAAAACTAGTAATTTCTGACTTGAATTTTTTAAAATTATTTTTAAAGTTGTCATGTTTGACTACAGTTAATTAATATTTATGTTTTTTTAGGAGCATCGAGTCGTCGCTGTTCAACAAAGCGAACGAGATCCAGGAGGACATCTCGATGAAACGGTACGAATTGAAAACGGCGCAGATCAACCTGGCCGGTGTTAAAGCGAAGGCGAGTATAACCGAAACTGTTTATGTTTTCTCTTTTCTTTTTGGACTCGGTTCACTTTTGGCGGGTCCCAGGGCGCCGTCTCAGACGATGAGGGCCTCACGAGTCGATAAAAGGGCCGACCCATTCACAGGACCAGTCGGGATCCGACAGCGTCCGTCATAACACGCCGCCGAGTGTCGATGCGCGAGAGTATAAACAAACAGGCCGAAAAACATAAAAGTCTCGTCGTACCGACATGGCTCGGTTATAGTCGGAACGTCCGAAAAGCCAAAAGGACACGCGCAATTTATAGAAAACTATCCGTCTTGAAATATACCAAGGGACAGCTCTCGCCATGGGCTGGACGAGCATACGATATTCCATCGTGAGTATGACCATTTAAAACATCACTCAAAACATTATTCGCCGTGATTGAGAAAATTGGATGTATTGTGCAACTCGGTTTTCTGACCTAGAACACCTTTATCGAGCTGTCTCCATAGCGACCATTAACCTAGATTTATTCTCAGCGTGAACCACCACATTTCCAGATTGCTACCAAATGTCTTAGTCAAAATGAACTGGATGATGTGTATAATGCTTCTTTTTTACGAATGTACAACAAAATTAATCTATTAAAAACAGACCAGATATGCTGGATGACCTTCTTTTGGCACTAGACTTAGGTCATCTGGTGTTGCATGGCTTTTCTCAAGATATTTGACTTTCCTATGTCCAATAACAAAACAAATTATGTCAATTTTGGTCAATAGTGATTCTTTTAAGTCAGTTTATTACGAAATATAATCAGTCGAAACTGACCCAATAGACTGGATGACCTTCTTTTGGGAGTAGACTTGGGTTATCTGGTGTTTCGTTGCTTTTCTCAAGATATTTGACTTTCCTATATCCAATAACAAAATAAATTATGTCAATTTTGGTCAATAGTGATTCTTTTTAGTCAGTTTATTACGAAATATAATCAGTCGAAACTGACCCAATAGGCTGGATGACCTTCTTTTGGGAATAGACTTAGGTTATGTAGTGTTCCATTGCTTTTCTCAAGATATTGGTCTTTCCTATATCCAATAACAAAATAAATTATGCCAATTTTGATCAATAGTCATTCTTTTAATCAGGTTATCACGAAACATAATCAGTCGAAACTGACCCGATAGGCTGGATGGCCTTCTTTTGCCAGTAGACTTAGGTTATCTGGTGTTTCGTTGCTTTTCTCAAGATATTTGCCTTTCCTATATCCAATAATAATATAAATTATGTCATTTTGGTCAAAAATGATTCTTTTAAACGGTTTATTACGAAATATAATCAGTAGAAACAGACCAGATAGGCTGGGTGGCCTATTTTTGCCAGTAGACTTAGATTATCTGGCGTTTCTTTCTCAAGATATTTGCTTTTTTTTATACTTCATAATAAAATAACTTAGTTTAATTTGGGTTAAAAATTAATTAAAAATTAAACAAATTAAAAATGACGTGGTTCCAGGGTTTTCTCCAGTTTTTTTAAGATTCTACAATGATTTATGATATACGAAGGCAATTTAGTGTTGGCAAGGGTTTGAAAAACACGATCATCTATAGATATAAACACCCAAAAGTTGATAATTAATCAAGGCTGTAGTTGGTTTTGTGATGTCTATGTATAGACTTAAAAATGAATGTGTTTTCTGCATTCCTCGCTACTCTTTGCCATACCTGGCATATATCGTTTCATTTTATGATGGAAGATCTTAAGTTTATACTTGATGCACGACATCCTCAGCGTCCATTCAATCTCTCTCTCTCTCTCTCTCTCTTCCTAACTAACGAACTAACTAGCTTTACTCCTTTTTTCTTTTCAGAAAGAGCTGTTCGCCTTGAAAATGGAAGGCGACGGTGGCGGTGGCTCGGACCGGAAGATGTCCACCGCCTCCACAGCGTCGATGAAGTCGAAATGGCTCAAGGCGTTCAAAAGCCTCAAAACTCCGCCTTTGTCGAACGGAAAGGAAGCCGAAAAAGAGAAGTTAGTATTCTGTTTTTACTTTTTCGAAAGAAAAACTAGTGTAAAAGACATTTTCTCAGTGGTTGTCTTAACTAAAATACGCTTTTTTTAATGATTATTAGATTTTTCTTTACTTTCGTCAAGATAACCACATGCTCAGGGTTGCATGTTAATATCAGTAAATATAATAATTTAATATACAATTTAAATAAATATTATATAGATGTATCTTTCGTTTAATAGTATATAGCAGTGTAGTACTTTATGTAGTAAAAATCTTTTATTTTTTGTACTAATGTTTGTTTTTTTTCTTACGAGATTTTTTTGTTTTTTTTTGATCACTCACAACCGTACCTACCATCCTCTCGGACAACCTCCCTCCAAAATATTGACTAAAAATTAAAAAAAAAAATCGACGAAAATTTAAAAAAATCCTCAATGTACCACCGAGAGCAGAAAGCACCAAATGTACCACGCCGTGTCGACAATCATAGCCATGAGGTAATTAAAAAAACGTTTAATTTATAATAAACTCTCTTGTTTTATGTATTTTAAGTTATTTTTATTGAAGAAAAATTATATAAAATACAAACACTTTCCTCCATCCACCTAAAAGAATAAAAAATTAAAAAACCACACAAAATACCACCCACCATCATTTATAAACAGTCCTAAGCTTAGTTTGCATGCAGCTTTGTAAAACCCCTCTTCTTGTTTTTTTTTTTTACTTTTTGCATCCAAGATCCATAAGAAATTTTTTTTTTATAACAGGACTGATTTTTAAATTTTATTTTTAGGAGGAACGGGAAAGACGTCCAGCTGGCAGGTGGCGAGAACGCCCACCAGTTTCAGGAGTACACGTACAAAAAGATAACACCATGCGACGTCTGTTCTCAAGTTTTAAGAGGTAAATGTACATATGTTTTGTATAAAAAGAAAATGATTATAAGAAAAATCGATTTGGACGGATGTTGAACCAAAACAGCTCTTGGGAGATTATTTTGCTGTTGCACCTGTGCAAAATGTTGGACAAGTTTGAGCCGAAACAGGATGAAATTATGGCGGATTTTCTTTTGTCGGTTTCGCCTAATGTTTTCAGCCTTGATCTAACGATATTGCTGAAATGGCACTTCTGTTGGATTTGGACCACAAACTACTGATTTTGAAAGATTACTTTGCTTTTCACCCCTGGGAAAATGTTGGACGATAATCAGAGACGGATTTGGACGGCATTTTAATGGTGTTCTTTCTGTTTCCTTGATTATTTTCAGTTTTGTTTTAACAATATTGCTGAAATGACAGTACTGTTGGATTTGGACCACAAACTTCTTCTTTTGATAATTACTTTGCTTTTCACCCCTGGGAAAATGTTGGACGATAATCAGAGACGGGTTTGGACGCCATTTTAATGGACTTCTTTCTGTTTTCTTGATTCTTGGGTCTTATTTTAACAATATTGCTGAAATGGCACTTCTGTTGGATTTGGACCACAAACTACTGCTTTTGAATGATTACTTTTCTTTTCACCCCTGGGAAAATGTTGGGCGATAATCAAAGACCGGTTTGGATACCATTTTAATGGGCTTCTTTCTGTTTCCTTGATTGTTTTCAGCCTTGATGTAAAGATAATAAACTAGTTTTTTTTCCTTTTGGTCGTCCAAAGCGTTGGATCATTACAGTATGAAATGAAAACTGTTTTGTTGTTCATATCGCTGAATTTCTTTCGCCGAATTAGTCACATGAGCAAAGTTGGAGGTTCTGTTGGATTCCGACCAAAAGTTACAGACTTAAGGTTGTTCTTTCTCGATTTTTGGACGTCGAAATTTTGGACAATCTTAGACAATCGCGCTGATCATTACAAGACAAAAGGGTGCGGATATTCTGTCATATCGTTGAATACGTTTCGCCGAGTTGGACAACTGACCAATTTTGGAGGTTCTGTTGAATTTCGACCCAAAATTATAGCATAGGCTCGGTTTGTCCGTAGTTCCACTCAATCCTTTCGTGTCCTGCGATGACGTCGAGGCTAATATTTTCGTTCCTTCTTTCAGGTCACACGAAACAGGGTCTCAAGTGCCGACTGTGCAAGATGAACGTCCACCTCGATTGCCAGGAGAGGGTGGGCAAGTGCCAGACCAAGTCCCGTCTTCTTCGAAGGCAGAAGTCCAGCTCAGACATCGAGACAAGAGCGACCCCGCCGGACGAGGAAGGTGCGTTTACGACCTGACCTTAAATATATTTCTGTTTATCCCAGCCCAACAAACCCAATTTTTCTTCCACTCCCTATTTTTTTTTCTCTTTTCACCCTTCCGCGTTAAAGGTCTGCTGGCGGGACGCATGCTTCGCCCAGGGCGGTCCGTCTCGCCCGGAGGCGCTTCGAGCCCGTCCAGCCCGGACAGGTCCCCGATCGGACGTTCGGTCACTTTCAGGACCCCGGACCAAATAGGTAAACGACCTCTGGACTGGAATTTTTAGGCAGATTTTGAAAGAAAATAATTTAAAAACGGCTTGATCTTAACCAGAATTGACCGTGTGCAGTGCTTTCTATATTTTTTCTAATTCTTTAAAAATACTAAACACACGTGATGTGCATTAATCCGTCAAGGTAGAAGGTAAACCTGCTTAAGCACATTAAAAAATAATATCTTAAGATTATCTTTAGATTATCCCTTTACAGCCCAAGAGTAGAATTGATCAACCGCTTTGTAGATCCACATAAAAAAACCTTAAGAAATCCTACATACATCCAAAACAACCCACCCAGCACGCTTTTGAGCTTTGGTTTTGTCTTTTTTTCTTTTTTTTGGTGGGGTTTTTCCGTAAGTCTGCTTACCACCCCGGGTCGGTCCCACGTTTGGTACAGGTGGGCTCCAGACTCCACAGCCGGTTCCTGCGGAACGGGACCCACAGGACTCGACTTACCAGGTCCTCAAGACGGCGAACGAGATCTCGTCCACGAGGGCCTCGGAACCGAGGACGACCAGGAGGCCGAACCCAAGCCACGCACAACACCACCACCATCATCAGTCGGCCAGTTCAGGTATATTTGCACCATGTTTTTTTGGTGGTCTTTTTCTTTTTTTTCAAAGCGGTACTGAAAAATAAACAGCATGTCAGGTCGCAGAAAATAACTCAAGGATTTTTTTTTCCAACAGCTTCACGCCTGCTTTTTTAGAAAAAAAAAAAACAAGAAAAATTCTTCCACTTTTTCTGTATTTTTCACTGCTTCATAAATAAACAAATCCATATATAATGAAAAAGTAAACTAGATTCAACAATTTCATGAAATGCCGTCACACCGAACTGCTTCATTTGAGCAGTTCAGTGAGATTATTATCACATGGGAATGTAATGACTTCATTATATTAATTTGTAAAATGTTATTTTATGTTATATATTCATTAACAGAACATTTATTTTACAAATGGATGGAGTAAAATTAAGTTCACCAATTTCCTAAAGTGACGTCACGCCAAACTTTCGAGCAGTCTTGTGACGTCGTAATTTTTATGTTATGCATTCAATAACATTACAGTTTTCTTAACGTAGATAAAGCCAAAATTAGTTTCACCAATTTCCTAAAAATGACGTCACTACTTGTCTTAGAGTTTGTGTGACGCCATTTATGGGAATGAGATTAGTTAATTTTACAGTTAGTTATTAATTAAATATTTTTACACCCTCTCCCCTCCCTTTTTTCGGAGATTTCTTTTCATACTTCATCTTTAATTATCTTGTTTTTCTTGTCTATTTTTTTTAAATTTTTGTCTGTTTCTTGTTCTGCCTTCAAAACTTATATTCGTGTGAACCATAGATAACCATGGAAGCGGTGAGTCCAGGCGGAGGAGGTTGTTCGGAATGAAGAGTTTCGGGTTCGGGCTGAAGGCGGCGGAAAGAGCTGCATCACTCCCAGAAAGTAATGTCTTTTTTCCCCTTAAAAAAAAGAACAAAACAAAAAACTCCCCAAAAAAGGCAAAAATAAAAACTGACAAAATTCCATAAAATGTATACATATATACATATATAGAGAGAGAGCATGCCGTCCGATCGTGCCCAAAAGCCCCAAACAAAGCAAAAAAAAAAACAAAAAAAAAAGACATAATTTATGTGGCTTATACCTGCATCATTTTTGTGTAAAATTATTTTCTCATATTTTTTCTTTATTTATTTTTATTTATTTCTCAAAAGAGAAGCGCTTTAATCGTGCCAGCTTCTAACCCGTAAGATCCTAACAATCCTTGATTAGAAAAAAAATATTCGTGTGACTAACAGGAATGGCGAGACTAACGGAGTTGAAAGCAGACAGATAAAAAAAATAAATAAAATAAATGAAGATCTGCCGTGAAGATCGCCACTTACAGTTAAACCACAGGGAAATAAATTTGTTTTGGTTTGAATAAGTTCGGTCATGATCAAAAAGCATTGGGCTAAGTAGTTCTGTCTTTACTAAAAGAGAAGAACAAACAAAATAACAACATAGGTAGTAGGTTCGGTTTTGGTTTAAAAAAACGTTACTACATTTGGTAGTACTGTTTTGGTTACAACTGAGTTGGTTTGTCGGTCCAGTTTTGGTCAAAAAGTTTAAGTAAAAACGTCTTTAAAAATTCTGTTTTTTGTAAAAAAATTACTGTTTTGTAATTCTGTTTTCAGTTATGACTGAATTGGTTTTGTAATCCTGTTTTATTGCTAAAATGTAGGTTTAGTAGTTCTGTTTTGCTTTAAAAAATGTAAACAACTAAGTACAGAACTACTAACACAAAAGGCTGTCTTTTTATTTGTTTAGAAGTTTTTTTTTCGGAGAAAAACTGTGAGCAAAAGTTTTGTTTTAGTGAAAGTGAGTTGGCTGAAGTCGTTCTGTTCCGACCAAATTTGGCCCATTTTAGTAGAAGAGGAAAAAAAAAGATTATATTAGTAGTTCTGTTTTGCTTAAAAAGATTTAAAAGATTAACTACAGAGCTATTAACACACTAAAAAAGATTGTTTAGTGGTTTTATTTGTCTACAAGTTACTTTTTTTTAAAAACAAAATATGCAAGCAGTAGTTCTATTTTTTAGTAGTTTTTAGTAGCAGTACCCGTTTTTAGTAGTTCTGCGATGCTTAAAACACTCTGTTTTTTAGTGGTTTTTTTAGGTAAGAAAAAATGACTGAGTGAAATAGTTCTGTTTTAGTAAAAGTGAGCTAAACTAGTTCTGCTCTGACTAAATTTGGCTCGTTTTAGTAGAAGAGTTGAAATAAATAAATAAGACTATATTAAGTAGTTGTTTTACATTAAGAAAACTGTAATCAACTAACTACAGATGTATTGACACTAAAAAAGGACTGTTTAGTTTTTTTTTTAGATAATGTGCGAGCAGTAGTTTTGCTTTTGTAAAAAAACCATAACCCGTGTTTAATAGTTCTAGGATGTTTAAAACACAAGGTTTTTAGTAGTTTTTTGTATGAAAAAATGACTGTGTAGTAGTTCTGTTTTAATAAAAGTGGGCTCGCTATAGTAGATCTATTCCGACTAAATTTGGCCCATTTTAGTAGAAGAGGAAAAAAAAGATTATATTAGTAGTTGTTTTGCTTAAAAAATTTAAAAGATTAACTACAGAGCTATTAACACACTAAAAAAAGACTGTTTAGTGGTATTATTTGTCTACAAGTTACTTTTTTTTAAAACAAAATAAGCAAGCAGTAGTTCTGTTTTTGTAAAAGAAAACCATAACCAGTTTTTAGTAGTTCTGCGATGCTTAAAACACACTGTTTTTAGTGGTTTTTTATGTATGAAAAAATGACTGTGTGTAGTAGTTCTGTTTTAGTAAAAGTGAGTTGGCTAAAGTAGTTCTGTTCTGACTAAATTTGGCTCGTTTTAGTAGAAGAGTTGAAAGAAAGAAATAAGACTAATTTAGCAGTTGTTTTACCTTAAAAAATGTAATCAATTAACTACAGATGTATTGACACTAAAAAAAGGACTGTTTAGTTGTTTTGTTAAATTTTTTTTTGAGATAATGTGCCGGCTGTAGTTTTGCTTTTGTAAAAAAAAACCATAACCCGTGTTTAATAGTTCTAGGATGTTTAAAACACAAGGTCTTTAGTAGTTTTTTGTATGAAAAAATACTGTGCGTAATAGTTCTGTTTTAGTAAAACTGAGTTGGCTAAAGTAGTTCTGTTCTGACTAAATTTGGCTCGTTTTAGTAGAAAAGCTGAAATAAATAAATAAGACGATGTTTAGCAGTTGTTTTACATTAAAACAATGTAATCAACTAACTACAGATGTATTGGCACTAAAAAAGGACTGTTTAGTTGTTTTTTTCTTTTTTGAGATAATGTGCGAGCAGTAGTTTTGCTTTTGTAAAAAAGCCATGACTCGTGTTTAGTACCTCTAGGATGTTTAAAACACAAGGTTTTTAGTAGTTTTTTATGTATGAAAAAATGACTGTGTAGTAGTTCTGTTTTAGTAAAAGTGAGTTCGCTAAAGTAGTTCTGTTCTGACTAAATTTGGCTCGTTTTAATAGAAGAGTTGAAATAAATAAATAAGACTATATTTAGCAGTTGTTTTACATTAAAAAAATGTAATCAACTAACTACAGATGTATTGGCACTAAAAAAAGGACTGTTTAGTTGTTTTATTTAGAATATTTTTTTGAGATAATGTGCGAGCAGTAGTTCTGTTTTTGTTAAAAAAAAACCGTAACCGTGTTTAGTAGTTCTAGGATGTTTAAAACACATTGTTTTTAGTAGTTTTTTATGTATGAAAAAATGACTGAGTGTAGTGGTTCTGTTGTAATAAAAGTGTACTCGCTAAAGTAGATCTATTCCGACTAAATTTGGCCCATTTTAGTAGAAGAGGTAAAAACGGAAAAGACTGTATTTAATAGTTTTGCTTAAAAAATGTAAAAGATTTACTATGGAGCTATTAACACATTACAAAAAGACGTTTATTGGTTTTATTTGTTTAGACTTGTTTTAGGAGAAAAAACAGTGAGCAGTAGTTCTGTTTTTGTTTAAAAAAACCGTAACCGTGTTTAGTAGTTCTAGGATGTTTAAAACACACTGTTTTTAGTAGTTTTTTATGTATGAAAAAATGACTGAGTGTAGTAGTTCTGTTTAGTAAAAGTTAGTTGGATAAAGTAGTTCTGTTCCGACTAAATTTGGCCCGTTTTAGTAGAAGTGTTTTGACATAAATAAAAAACAATGCAGAAGACTCTGGCACGTTGGCACCTAGGTTTGGGCGCCTTCCCGGCAGGTTTTTCTTATTTGTCTGTCTGTTTTATTTTTTGTTTTCCTTTATTTTGACTAACACCGGCTGACGATGTACAAATAGTAAATAAAAACCGCTAAGAACCGCCTTGAATTCTTTTTGCAGCAGAGCAAGTGCAATACGCCGCCGGAACTCGGCCCTTCGGACAGCCTTTGGTCCTCGGGGCCGCGAGCCCACCGCCGACTCCTTCGCCGAGGCAAGGGAAGAAAACCTCTCCCTGACGACTGCGGGTGATAACGGATTGTTTTCTTTTATTTTTTTTCTTTCTTTTTTCTCGATATATGATAATAAATAAATAATCAAAATAACAAAAAAATAATACATATATATAAAAAAATGCCTGTTTTTCTCAGAGATTTGATTACCAACGGAACGAGCCCTCCCGCACCCAAAATGTCAGTGTGATAAAAGACATTTTATTTAAAAGTTAAGCCCTGTGTTTGTCGAACATGTTCCAAAAAAAACAAGACTTTCTGTTTCGAAAGGACGAAAATCGGCTGGAAAAGCTGGCGAAGAAAGTTTCGAAAACGCTCAATTTCGAAAACAGAGAGTGAGAGAGAGAGAAAGAGAGTGAGAAAAAACAAAAAAACAGTCTTAAACTTTTTTCTTGAATTTATTATTTCTATTTCTTCTTTTCCTGTTTATTCATTCTTGGATACTTTTCTCTTATTCTATGTGTACCTTTAACAAGAAATTTTCCCAACCCCAAAAAATCTATGTGTATTTATCTTTAAGAATAAAACTGATGTTATTTATCGAGAAGGGTTTTCATTGTAACATGTCTTTTTTTAGGAATTACATCAAGACAGCTTCAGGTCAAAAGTGATCAATTTAAATACACTAACAATGAAATATTTTGGCTGTTTTGGTCAAAAATGACCGGCTTATGTAAACGTTATCGAGTGAAAAGCGATCAGTTTAAGTAGATCAGTTAAAGAGGGAAATATGTTGGTAATTTCGTTCAAAAATTACCGACATTGATAGGTCAAAAATGATCATGTTAAACATATCAGTTGTACGGAAGATATTTGAGTTGTTTAGGTCAAAAATGACCGACTTGTGTTACATTGTCGGGTCAAAAGTGATCGTTTTATGTTGATCAGTTATATGGAAGATATTTGACATGTTTTGGTCAAAAATGACCAGCTTATGCAGTTCAAAAGAGACCAATTTGAGTAGATAAGTTAAAGAAATATTTTGTTTTTTTGGGTGAAAAATGACTAGACTAAATAGGATCAAAAGTTCAGTCTGCCTGTTCAGTCTGGACTAAAAGGATACCAGGCAGTTCAGGCGGCCAATTTTTGCCAAAAATGACCGTGTCAATTGACAAATTTGACGTCAAAGATGATGAATATAACTAATAATAATTATTTGACAGTGTTAATACCATTCACCCCCCCCCCACTGTCTTATTTTCACCTTTTGACCTGATGTTTCTTGAACAAATGGCAAACGTGAAGAAAATTAAGCCTTTTTGGGCAAAAATGGCCGACATTACAATGACGACGACGTACAGCCGTAGGACGCAACCAAAGAGCATGTTTCCTTTCTTTTTCTTTTTATTTTGGTATTTATTTTTGAAACATTTCAGATTTCCCATGTGTGTATATATATGTTAGACCTGCTATGCTACGTGTTGGTATATTTAGTATGTTAATTTTATTTGATAGAAAAAAATTTATAGAAATTTTTGTGTTGTAGGTAAGTAATTTTTTGTTGTTTATGATGTACAGAGTGTAAAAAATTAACATGAATCGTGTTTGAAGATTTTTGTATATATTTAACATTTTATACTAATTTAATTTTTGCATTCAAAATATATTTTTTTAAATAAAGATATGAGAGATTAAAAAAAAGATTTATTTCAAAATGTATATTTCCTTCTTTAATATGCTAACTTCTCTCAATTTCTTTCCATCTCTTCTGCCTTCTTTTCTTCGCCTTCTGTTCTTTTTCTCTTCTCTCTTTTTCACTTTTCTGCATGTTGACGAGAATTTCTTCTGGCTTAGGTGCGTCATACAGCCCTTGTGACGGATGGGTGGGATCGTCGAACACAACTGGTAAAGAGACCAATTAGTAGAGGAGTGATGATGAGATGGGCGGAAACAGGGTACAGCAGGATCGCCAATTTGGAAAATCAAGTTTCCGACTAGTTTCAGTTTGGGTTGAAAGGCTGGAAATAATGGACTTCTTAGAAAAACACTTTTGAACAAATATGTCGATGGGTTTTGTCGTTGCCAAAATAATGTCTCCTGGACAATGGTTGAAATGATTTTCTAGGCTTTCTGGATGATATGCCAATGCTTTTTTTATTACTAAATCGAAGCCTCCTGTTTGCTGTTTTAAATATTTATCGAAAATGTTTGTGGAAAAAACGTTTTTGGATATCAATCCGATGGTTATTGGTGGTTTTTCACCCGAAAAAAAGTCTTGTGGGCGATTTTGTTGAGATGGTTTTGTGACTCAAACATTTTGGATAAACCAATGGTTTTTGGTGATTTTCACCGAAATAATATCTTGTGAACATTTAATTTTATTGAGATGGTTTTGTGACTCCAACATTTTGGATAATCCAATGGTTTTTGGTGGTTTTCACCGAAATAATATCTTGTGGATAATTAATTTTGTTGAGATGGTTTTGAGACTCAAACATTTTGGATAAACCAATGCTTTTTGGTGGTTTTCGCCGAAATAATATCTTGTGAACATTTAATTTTGTTGAGATGGTTTTGTGACTCAAACATTTTGGATAATCCAATGGTTTTTGGTGGTTTTCACCGAAATAATAGTTTTCTAGGCAATACGTTTCTGGATGATAGACCAATGGTTTTTAGCAGTTTCTCCTAAAATAATAGCCTCCTGGACAAATTTTTGATATGGTTTTGTGACTCAAACATTTTGGATAATCCAATGGTTTTTGGTGGTTTTAACCGAAATAATATCTTGTGGACATTTAATTTTGTTGAGATGGTTTTGTGACTCCAACATTTTGGATAATCCAATGGTTTTTGGTGGTTTTCACCGAAATAATATCTTGTGGACAATTAATTTTTTTGAGATGGTTTTGTGACTCCAGCATTTTGGATAATCCAATGGTTTTTGGTGGGTTTCACCGAAATAATATCTTGTGGACAGTTAATTTTGTTGAGATGGTTTTGTGATCTAACATTTTGGATAATCCAATGGTTTTTGGTGGTTTTCACCGAAATAATATCTTGTGGACATTTAATTTTGTTGAGATGGTTTTGAGACTCAAACATTTTGGATAAACCAATGGTTTTTGGTGGTTTTCAATAATAGTTAAATAATAGTTTTCTAGGCAATACGTTTCTAGTTGATCGACCAATGGGTTTTATTAGTTTATCCTAAAATAATAGCCTCCTAGTCAAATTTTGTCGAAATAGTTTTGTGACTCAAACATTTCTGGATGGTAATCCGATTGGGTTTGGTGGGTTTTTCAACCAAATAAAAATCCTTGTGGACAATTTTGTTCAGATCGTTTTGTGACGTAAACATTTCTGAATGGTAATTCGATGGTGTTTGGTGGGTTTTTCAACCAAATAAAGTCTTGTGGACAACTTTGTTGAGATGGTTTTGTGGCTCAAATATTTCTGGATGGTAATCCGATTGTTTTTGGTGGGTTTTTCAATGAAATGAAGTCTGAAGTGAACAATATTATTGAGATGGTTTTCTCGGCAATACGTTTGTGTATGACCGACAAATGGTTTTAAGCGTTTCAAGGAAAATAACAGCCTCCTAGAGCAATTTGTTGAGATGGTTTTGTAGACAAAACGTTCATAAACTATGGCCTTTTGTTTTCACTGAAATAAAATCTAATGGAGAATTTTGTCGTGGTAAAACGTTTTTGGACGATTTAGCCGAGGGTTTAAGGGTTTTGACCAAAATAAATGCCTTATTTGCAATTCTTTTGAGACGGTCATTTTGTATAATCTTGTTTAACTCGTCCAGTCGATTATTTTCAGCCTTTTGTACCTTATAAATTTTTTTAAGGTAAAAACCTGCTGTACGTTTTTTTCGTTAAGTAAATTGTATTGTTCTTTTGTTGTTTATAAAATATGAGAAGGAGATCAAATTGAGCGGAAGTCCTCCTGGCCCCCTTAGATGGCACTTAGGCTGTAGAAGCACCACCGCATGTTCGTTATCGATTTGTTTTTCTCTCTGATTTTCCCCCAATTTTTTTTTCTGACTGCTGTATTTTTCGTTCGTATCTCAATCGAAAACCGGCCCGAACCCGGGTCCAACCCTTATGTCCACAGCCCCTCATAGCCCGAGACGGCAGAAGCTGAACCTGAGGATGAAATCCCTGAGCCTGGATTCACCGGAGTCGACCGAGCACAACCAGAGGCGGAGGCCGGGGACGAACTGCTCCGCCCAGACCTCGGCACACGGGAGCAGCCACAGCTCATCATCTCGGCTACAATGTAAGAGAAAACCAAAAAACAAATTAAAAAAAATAAAAAATAAAAAACGAGAAAAAACAGAAAAAAGGACAATCCAAAAACGACAGCCTGATTCATTTCCAGCTCCAGTGAGGCGAAGGGTTGTACGACTGCCAACCTCACCGGCAATCTGGTCAAGTAAAAATTGTGTGAGAGTTTTTTTTTAAAACAACAAATCAAAAAACATAAACGTAAAACCTCGTCCACTTTTAGAAACCAGTATCGGTAGTTTAAAGTAGTTTTGTTGCCTTTTTAATTTTTTGTAAATTTAATAAACTAAACAAATCGTGTAGATTTTTCAAGCTGGCTGTAGGTGATAGTACAGAGTAGATTGCAATTTTTAGACGATAAATCCCAACCCCTTATAATTAGAAAAAAAGTGAAACCCCCATTTTTTCCTTTCCAGCACCTTCAAGTCCGGTACACTCCAGGAGGCTTTTGTCAGCGCGCAATATGAGAATGAGCTCGGTCGAGCTGCCTGACGACAACGAAAAGTCCATATCGAGCGCGAGCACGTCACCGTGTCCATCTCCCGTGAGTATTTTATTGTTATTGTGTTCGATTTATGTTAATTTATGGTGAAAACCGCGTTCAAATCGGTTCGGCAGGATTCAAACTGGAAGGTGAAAGGTACAACATTTGAGTCCCCCTCCAAAACATATATTTCCACCAGTGACCCTGTCCATTTGGCAGAATTTGATGAAACTCGATATTTCTTTACAAGCCAGATTTATCGAAATTTACTCGTCAAATTTACCTCAAATTTATTGTCCCAAATTTAACACGAAGAGGTTTAAACGCTTTCTCCTCTGAGTGACCCCCCACTCTAACAACACATTTTCACCAATACTTCTCTGACTAATAGGCAGAATTCGATGTGTCTCGATGTTTTTGTTCAGATTTAATTTAGGTGTGAAATTTAGCCTTAATTTATTGTATAGCGGTGAAACTAGAAAGTTCAAAGTTCAATTGAACTATGAGACCCCCCACTCTAAAAATACATTTTTACCAGTATTTCCCTGGCTATTTGGCAGAATTTGATGAAATCGATATTTCATTACAGACCTGATTTATCGAAATTTACTCGTCAAATTTAGCCCAAATTTATTGTCTACAATTTAACGCGAAAAAGTTTAAACGCTTTATACTTTGAGTGACCCCCGCCCCCTGCTAAAAACACATTTTCACCAATATTTCTCTGACTAATAGTCAGAATTGGATGCATCTCAATATTTTCGTTCAGATTTAATTTATCTTAATTTTAGGTGTCAAATTTGGCTTTAATTTACTGTACAGCAATGAAACTAGAGAGCTTAAAGTTGAATTGGACTATGAGTCCCCACACATAAAAATACATTTTTAACAATATCTCTGCATCTAATGGTCAGAACTGAATGAAAATCTAAGTTTTTCTGGTTAGATTTATCCCAATGGCTTAATAAGGCTTAATCGCCAGCATTTATTTTTACGGGTGGTTCAGTTTTAATTTTTTTTTTCAGAAGCCGTACAGGCTCTTGCCGAACAACTTGTACGTCGTGCTGTACAACTTCAAGTCGAGACATTCGGACGAGCTGGATCTCAAGTGAGTGTTTTATGGGCCGTACTGAAAATCAGATGATTTATTTTTTTGTAATCCAGGGCTGGGTACAAACTGACGGTGATAGACACTTCTGACCCTGATTGGTGGAGGGGGAAATGTTTAGGAAGGGTCGGCTATTTTCCGAGCAAGTACGTCGCCAAAGTCCAACCCGGGGAAAGGGCACTGCAGGTGACGCATAACTTGCAAGTCGCCGACTCGACCCTACTGAGAGATCAGGTATGACTGACGTATATAACTTAAGGTTTTCAGTCTAAGTTTTTTGTTTTGGGGTGTTCTTTTAGATTGTGATTCAGATAGGCGAGGAAGTCGACGGCATGGTGATGATCAGATCCGGCGACAACAGGCAAGGCATATGCCCTATAAAGTACCTCACCGAGGTGTGACAGTTCCGGAAACAGGTCGGCCTCCTCAGCCCGACCAATTGGTTCGACAAGTACATCCACGAGGACAACAACAACAACATCGACCTTTTCGCCCGCTACTACGGGCAGAGGATGCGCGCTACCAAAGTCGACATCCTCCTCGGAAACAACGGACGTCTGCCGATCGCCAGCTCTCAGCGGCCCCTAGGCGTATCGAGGACTAGACAGCGTTGCAAGAGCATGAAGAGTTTCACCTCCCTCTCCAGGCCACTCCTCATCGGTTGATTATCATCCGCCTTTTCCTTTTTATACATGAGGACTGCTTCCACCTTGAACGACATCCTACAGGCAGAAGGTGGCCATAATCTAGATGGATATTCCATGATAATACACTATGAACGATACGAAAATCAGATCATACCAAATCTTAATGCCATCAACCCTTTAACCGCCAGATCGTAATCAAGACCTTATCCTGCACACGAAGGTCATCACCCTAGACAAACTAGCTACCAACAATTTTAAAAAATTAGCCTTCTTCCTTATCGATCATTGTTCAAAAAAATCTGAGGAGGGGGTCATAAAACCTCTTGGGTCCAAAAGATGCAGGAATTGATTTCCCCCTTGACCCAGTGACAAGATCAAATTGTTGCATTTCTTCCAATTGAATTTACTGATTTAAAAAAAATTATGAACTATACTCGGGAGAGTCGGTCCGACAATCGACAAGAAGGGATGAAAGACAAAGCCCAAACAATGAGGAAAAACTTTTTTTAAATATAAATAATTTAATAATATAAGAACAATATATTTAAATACGTGTAGGTACATAAAAAATTGTTATATATAGGATTTTAAAAGAGAGAAAAAATGCTGACACTGTTTTTCCCATCTTTCCTACGTTTGGGCAACACTGGAGGCAACACTGATTCCCTGAGAAATTATTTAATCCATTGGTTACTCAGCCGACTTTAAATCACGACAGAACTTCTCCCTTAAAACAAGGCTGACATTTCGACGAATCGGTGTTGGAAATAGAGACGGTCCATTCGTTCCTGAACTGTTCAAAAGACCTAGCTCACTTTACTGACCGGTTGTAATCGCTCTAGAAAAATGAACGGCATCTCTATGGCTAATCAATTTCTTTGGGAGACCACTGTACACCTCTCCCTGGTAGCTCAGCACGCAACACTTCCCGGCGGCTCAACGTTCACCTCTCCCTGGTAGCTCACCAATCAACACTCCATGGAGGCTCACCGCCCACCACTCCCTGGTAGCTCACCACTGAATGCTCCCTGGTGGAACACCGTTTCCTGGTAGCTCACCACTCAACACTCCCTGGAGGCTCACCGCTCAACACTTCCTGGTAGCTTACCTCTCAACACTCCCTGGCGGCTCACCGCTCACCACTACCTGGTAGCTCACCACTGAATACTCCGTGGCGGTACACCGCTTCTTGGTAGCTTATCACTCAGCGTTCAGTGAGCTTGTATCCCCCCCTTAAACAAAGCTTGCACTTGAAGGAATCAGTGTTGCAAATAGAGATGGACAATAAGTTCCTGAACTGTACAAAAGAACAGCTGGCATTACTGATCGGTTGAAGTTGCACTGAAAAAACGGAACGGAAATGGCTACTCGATTTTTCTGGCAGATCACTGTACATGACTACCTATAGTTCACCGTTCACTCCCTGTTCACCCTCCTCTGTCTGGCAGCCCACCGCTCACCACTTTCTGTTAGCTCACCAATCAACACTCCCTGGCGGCTCACCACTCAACACTCCCTGGCGCTCACCATTCAATACTCCCTGGCGACACACCGCTCAACCCTCCCTGGCGGTTCACTGCTCACCAGTACGTGGGAGATTTTAAATCCTGTGATTACTCAGTGAGCTTATATCACCACAAATTTTTCCTCCCTTAAACAAAGGTTGCACTTGGAGGAATCAGTGTTGCAAATAAAGATGGACAACTGAACTGTTCAAAAGAACCAGCTCACTTTACTGAGCGGGTGAAGTTGCACTGAGAAAAGGAACGACAGGTACTCATCACTACTTGGCGGCTCACTACACCCTGGTAGCCCACCGCTCACCACTCTCTCGCCTTTCTTCCCCAGATCTATCCGTAATCCCTACTGCTCCCGGTATATCCTGGATATGCATTTAGGTCTCCCTATCTCTTCAATTATTTCAAAAATGTGTTTCTTTCTCTGGTTATTCTTTAAAATTAAAATGTTTATTGACCGGAGAGCGGTGAAAGAGGACCGGTTCATTCCACCTAGTGAGCGGTTTTTGCCCATCACTACTTAAACCGTCGGGACCAGAACATTTATCAATAATTAATTAATCAAAGAGAATTAATTAGGGAAATTTTTTCAAATGGGCAAGGCCGAACGGGCTCACTTTGTGGAATCAGTGATGCCACCAGTGTTGCCCGACAGAGAGGAGAAACAATTTTTGACCTTTTTTAAACATAAATAAATATGTATTGATGTCGGAAAATCGTTTAAATCGTTAAAAATTCTCCTTTTTATAATATGTTATTATTATAAGAATGAAATATAAATAACACAACTTGTGTATAATTATTTTCTATATTATATAAAAAATCTAGGGAGGGGGGACTTTTTAAAAGAGTACATTTTCCACTACAAATAATTATATACATGAGCACTATTCTATTTAAAAGAAAATTTCTAATAAAATATATATATTATAAATATAAATATATAAAAATAATAATAATAATGAAGATATACTTGTTATAAATGGGGGATTCTATGTGCACTTTTTTATTTTATTTTTCTTCAGTTCTCTTTTTGTAATTTACAGGGTTTATAAAGGGAGAAAGGATGTAAGAAGTATTAAAAAAGCTTTATTATATTTTGTTTCCTTTTGAAAAAGAAGAAGAAAAAAAACTTTAAAGCTATGGACCAAAGACAACGCCTTCGCTTCGATTTATTAAAATAAATAAATAAGTAAATATATTTGGAGGGGGGAAGAAAAATATATAATTTTGTTAATTTTTATGTAGTCTATTTTTATGTTGTTTTGAAATTTTATCAAATGTTGTTTCAACTACCGCCGATATTATTGTAGTTCACTTCGTCCTTGTGATTTTAAAATATAAAATATAAAAAAATATTGTATAAAAATATATATAAACATATATAAGAATCTTGATCCTACAGCACTGAATCGATGTTATTTTATTGTATTGAGACATAAAAAATCGATGAAATAATATTTAATAAATTATAATGAGCACTGTAAGTTGGACAAAAAAATATATTGCAGTTATGTATTAAATTTTTTTAAATAATTTATTTCGTTAATTGTATTCGTACCCGTTTATCTACAAAAATTTTTATGTTTGTCATTTACCTGATCTCACAAGCAAAAGGCGATTCTATCATCCAGAAACTATAGGAGTGTAGGTGTACTTCAAGGCTTCATCCTAAGTCCTTTCTGGTTTTAATATGGAATAACACATTGTGGCTGTAGGTGTATCTCAAGGCATCATCCTAGGAACCTACTTCTTGAAAACAAAGTCCTTAAAAGACATTATGTTGCTGCATTCCTCTAAGTGTCAAGGCACCATAACCAGACCTTTATCTGGTTTTAATAAGGACATTGTGGCTGTAGGTGTACCTCAAGGCACCATCCAAGGACCCTTCATCTTTAAAACAAAGTCATTTTAAGAGATTATGTTCCTGTATTATTCTAAGTCTCAAGGCTGCGTCCTAGGTCTCTGGTTTTAATGTGGAATTACACATTTGGCTGTAGCTGTACCTCAAGGCATCACCCTAGGACCACTCATCTTCAAGCAAAAGGCCTTCGATCACATTATCTGCCTGTTCGACTGTAGGTGTACTACAAGGCACCTCCCAAGGACTTAAAACAAAGTTAGTTAAAGAGAATATATTTCTATGTTACAGTCAGTGGCACTATCCTTAGATGTGTGTACCTTAGACACCTATCGACCTATAGGACCTTAGATGGTGCCTTTTAGTACACCTACAGTCAACCGAAATACAAAGTAATTAATTGGCCTTATGAATGGAGTGGTCCTAGGATGGTGCCTTGCAGTACATTTACAGACCAACTGAAAGACAATATGATAAATTGGCCTTTTGCATAAATGGTCCTAGGATGGTGCGTTGTGCCACACCTTCAGCCACAAAGGTTCCATAGTAAAACAACATAGATCCTTGGATGGTGGCTTGTAGTACACTTACAGTCCAACTGAAAACAATATAATAAATTGATTTTTTGCATGAGTGGTCCTAGGATGGTGCGTTGCGCCACACCTTCAGCTACAAAGGTTTTATAGTAAAACAACATAGGTCCTTGGATGGTGCCTTTTAGTATACCTACTGTCCAACTGAAAGACAATATTATAAATTGGCCTTTTGCATGAATGGTCCTAGGATGGTGCGTTGTGCCACACCTTCAGCCACAAAGGTTCCATAGTAAAACAACATAGATCCTTGGATGGTGCCTTGTAGTACACTTACAGTCCAACTGGAAGCAATATAATAAATTGATTTTTTGCATGAGTGGTCCTAGGATGGTGCATTATGCCACACCTTCAGCCACAAAGGTATTATAGTAAAACAACATAGGTCCTTGTATGGTGCCTTTTAGTACACCTACAGTCCAACAGACAATATAATAAATTGGCCTTTTGCATGGATGCATGGTGCCTTGTGCCTCACCTCACAAAGATTCCATAGTGAAACAACATCGGTCCTTGGAATGCCATAAAATGTAATTCAATAGTTAAACAAGATTAGACTTAGGATGATACATGGAATCTTATAAAATGTGATCAACTGGGTGATGGGCAATAAAAAAAACTAAACTTTAAGTAATACAAATTTAATCCTATATTTGTCCAAATCAAAACAACAACAAAATATTGATATGGTACATTGTTTTTTATAAAAAAGATATGCTTTACTTAGATATGCTATACTTTTAATTATTGATGGCTTCATGGATGAAACTATGATATGGTAGGAACGATGGCATATGACCTTTTGTGCATTTACATGGCCGGTTTTGACGGCGGGCGAAAGCGTAGTCGTGCGTCTTAGTATTGATTAGTGCCGGCCACCCGACGAGACAAGGGAGTCCGAAGCGCGACTAATGGGCTGAACGTCGTGTCGATCCGTTGGTGGAGTTAGACGGTCGACGGGAGAGGGCGCCATTCGAGATCATCGATGCTCGAAGACTGGGAGAGGAGCCTTTGGCTCGACCTGCGACGCCTATGCCTCCTTGTATACACGCTCAGCACCTGGGGAAGGAAGAAAGTAAGAAAATGTAGCTGCGATTGGAGAAACAGTCAAAACATAGTAAGACAAATTGGAGCCTAGGATGTGGTGCTTCTACACCTACAGTCGAATAGAAAGACAATAGGATCGAGTTGACTTTCTCTCGAAGGTACCTTGTGCCACACCTTCAATAACAAAGGATTGTTCCGTAGTAAAATAATATGGGTACTAGGATGGTGCCTTGTAATACACCTACAGTCTAACGAAAAGACAATTGGATAGGTGGACCTGTTCTTGAAGTTCAAGTAACCTAGGATGGTGCCTTGTAGTACATCTAGAGTCAAAGCGAAAGACAATGGGATCGAGTCAACTTTCTCTTGAAGATCAGATGACCTAGATACCTGTGCCATACCTTAAACCACAAAGCGATGATCCATTGTAAAATACCATAGGTCCTAGGATGGGGCCTTGTAGTACACCTATAGTCAAACGGAATGACAATGGGATCAAGTGGATTTTCTTGGACATCAGATAACCTATGATGGTGCCTTGTGCCAAATCTTCAATCACAAACGGTTGTTCCTTAGTAAAATAACATGAGTCCTAGGATGGTGCCTTGTAGTACACCTAGAGCAAAACAGAGAGATACTGTAATCGAGTGGACTTTTTAAGATCAGGTGACCTACGTTGGTGCCTAGTCCTACAGACCCAATATTATCAAAAAGATTCGTTTGAAGGTGAGAGTCCTTAAAATGGTGCCTTGAGGTACATCTAAAATCCTGTAGTTAAAAGATGTTTAACTGACTTTTCAGATGACGGATCTTCATAAGGTGGAGGCACCCCTGGCAATGTACCTCATCCTTACTTTAGAGAAAACAAAATATGACCTTCAATGATTGTTTGTAATATACCTACAGACCAGAAAGTTAACATCCGAGCAATGTTCTTAGAAAAACAAGATAGGATCTAGGAGAGTGCCTTGTATAACATCTTTCTTTAGTATAAGACAATTTGAACCTTGGATTGAGAAACGGGGAACTGATTACATTACAATCTTCAGCATTGTACACATTAATTATTTTTGACCTTTTTAGGTTGGATTAAATGTCCGAACCTGTGAATTGCATGTGGCGCACAGTGCCATGATGAGCCCCTGTACGGCGTGTAGGACGTTATAGACGAGCCAAAACCCCGACAAACCGGTAGTCACGTAGCCCAATCCGGCCAGCTCCATCGTGAGTATGGTGGCGGTCAGCTTCGAGCAGAGTCCAACCTGCAGCTTCTTTGCTTTGGCCAGCTTTGTCTTCTGCTTGGGGCGGGTCTCGAGGCTCAGAGTGTACTTGAGCCTCACCCAAGACCTAACCATAAGACAGACGCACGCGCTGAGGAGCACCATAGACGGAAAGCTGTATGTGAGGAGATAGAGCTTCTTCTCGATGAACCTGTTCATAAAAGAAAAGAGATGAATCAGACCAAAACGATTTCATGATTCACGGATACGTACCAACAGTTGGATTTAACCATGTCGGAGGTTGCGGCTGTGTCCAGGGTGTAGGCGAGAGATACAGCGATAGCGGGTCCGCCCCAACCGAATAGGCACGACGCTGCGTACTTGCAGCACATCTCCCTCGAATGGAGGGTCGGCTGTTCGACTGTGAGCGCGTTGTGCGTGTCTCTGCAGAGTACGGCAAGCCAGGCGATGAGGCAGAGGTGGAGGAACTCGAGGGAGTGAGCTATGGACAAGCATAGCCCTTTCTCCTGTAAGGACGAACAAATCAGTGGTGTTTTTTATACGCAAGGAATGACCCCAGGCTAAACTTACGTGCACACCGCCAACCCCGATAACGTATATCAGCTGCGCCATGAACGTCGTGGCGAGGAGGGTCATGAGAGTCGTGCCCATCAAATTCCTTAGGTCGGAAAACAAGCTGAAACAAAAGAAGGCTTGTTATTATTGGACACATCGAAGCCAAACGGGCCAGAGTCGACGGTTGCCGGATCTGTTAAAGTCAAACGAGACATGAAAAGTGGTAAATAAAACAAAGCTAACAGTGGAGAACAAAACAAAGAGGGTACACCCAAGGATGTCTAGTATCACCTCAGGCCCAGTGGATTTCCCAAAAGTATAAGTTCACCAGTTCAACGACGAAAAGGTTGAATATGGCCTGAAATGTTACAAGTGGTAATCAAAATAAAGAGGCAGGGTTTCAGATGTACCCCTGCTGTACACCCAACGATGGGTACTATCGTATCAGGTGCCAGTGGCTCTCCATCCAGATGAACATTTGCCAATTAAACTAAGCAGAAGGTGAATATGGCCTGAAATGTGTGATGAACAAACAATAAATAGAAGAGGCCTCAAGATGTATACCCAAAGATGTCGTCTCAGATCCCAGTGGCTCTCTGATGAAGTTTTGCCATTTAAACTAACTAGACGTGGAATATGAACCAAAAGCAAATGTTACTAGTGAAGAAATACTAAAAGAAAGGGTATCAAACTGTACCCCTGAGCTACATCCGTACTCAGGCCGAACGTATTCTTCCAAAACTAATCGCAATCTATCAATGCTTCTAAAACGGAACATCACCCCACGCGGTACACAGTCAGACAGGCCATTAGATACGTCAGGATTCGGAAAGCATGTCGACAACAAGCGGACCGGAACTTTTTATACATATTTTTTTACAACTTTGAATAATTAAACCAAAGTCATTTATAAATCTTGATTAAAGTGTGGTAAAAAAGCAAACGGTGCTAATTACACTGAGAGGGTTTTTTTGTCTTTTTTGGTGGGTGGGGTGTTTTTTTCCCTAAGGGGTGTAATTTTCATCCGTGCATTTCAATCGGGACGTAGTTTTTTTTTTTTTTTTTTTTTTGTGAGAGAGAGAGAAAAAGTTCTCGGTTGTTTTACTTCTGAACGTTAAACGAAGGGACTTAGCCGTTAAGCCCATTAAGTCGTACTTTACTCTTTTACCTTTTCTGTTTTATTTTGTCTCTGTGATGTTTTATCATTGTTATTCTACCCCAGCGATAAATTCAAAGATTATTTCATTGAATGAATTTTTTTAACATAAAATTCGTCAGATCGGACGATATTGTGTTGGGTGTATCACAGGGGGTGAATCTCGAGGCCCATTCTGTTTTATTTCGTTGCTGTGCAGTTTTGTCTGTATTCTTCTACCCCAGAAACAAACCAAACGATTATTTTGGTGGGTGAATGAAAAAAAAAAAATTCGTCAGATCTGACGATATAGTGTTGGGTATATTACGGGGGGGGGAAACTCTCGAGGTTCTTTGTTTTATTTCGTACCTGTGGTGTGTTATCTATGCTCTTCTACTCCAGAGACAAATTAGACGATTATTTCAGTGTTTTTTTATTTGTTTTTTTTTTTAAATAAAATACGTCAGATCTGACGATATAGTGTTGGGTGTATCACAGGAAGAAATCTGGAGACCCTTTCATTTTGATCTCGGTTTTTCGTATTTCTTTTAGTACTGAAAGGTTTTTCGTGCAGTAAAATCCCTTAAATATTTATTTATGTTAAATAATCGAGTGTGTATTGATGATGTAATTTGTAAGGATGGAAAAATCGAGATTTTTCTTATTTTTAATCCGTTTTTTGTCGCAAACTTTTGGTTTTTCTGGTCTTTCTAAAAAACATTTGATATGAAAAATAGGTATCTTTTCTCTATTGAGGTACTCTTATGTTTTAATGAGGTTATTTGAATAAGGTCGAAATTTAACGGTAAAAAAAGATTGTGTTGTAGAAGGGGGGGTTGTTGTTACCAGGTCGCCCTTGGATACCAGGTCGATTATCCGTTTTAGGCCGGGGAGAAAACTCGGATTTTCCATGAAACAATGAACCTAGACAATAAATAAAAACAAGAAAAAGATTTTTTTGTTTTGGTGGGGGGGGGGAGAATTGTCATTGTCACCAAGTTGGTCAAAACATGAACTGTGTTGAATTAATCGAGACCCTTTTGTTAAAACAGAGGACGTGGGATTGAAAAAAAGAATAAAACAAGCGGTTACAAATGACCCACGGACAAGAGGACATTAATAAAAAAAACAGGGAGAAAAGTGGGTTGAGGCAGCGACGACTAAATCCAAAGGGATCATTTTCCCCCCATCCCTTGGGTCCGACTCGTCTCGCTCTCTCGGTGTGAATCAGTTCAAATTAAGTCAATCGAACTTCATTTCATATTAGGCTGAAAAGAAATAAAATAATTTGGAAAAAAATCCCCTTTGAATCAAACTACCTGGAAAAGTTTGTACGTTTGATCATGCCACGGATCAAATCTCGCCCTTTCATATTAAAAAAATTGATTCCTTTGATTGGAAATTCCTTCCTATTGAACTTTTATACTGTCAAAGTTTTGGTAAAGCCTATTTTCCGAGATATTTGCAAACATTTGGTTGCACCGTTTTTTTTAAATATCTCAAATAGTGTGAAATGTTTTTAAAAAATTAACAGAGTCAAAGTTCTAGGCAATTAAATTTTCTTTAAAATGTATTCAGTGTAAAACTTTGCACCTTTGTTACACGATGAGATAAACGGTCATAAAACGATCGGTTCGTCGATTGATGGATTAGGCCTTAAGGGATCCTTAACCAAAATCCAAAAAAAACCACTTGACGCTTTCTTCATAATCATTTGAAATTAGTGTCCTTTTAAAGAAAATTCAATCTTGTTAAAGTTTTATTGTATAAATTTTTGTTAAAATTAACAGTTTCTATCATATTTCCCAAAAAGTAAACAAAAAAGTTTTTTCTTTGATCCTGCATTTTTTTTTTTTTTTTGCAAATATCTCAAAAACCGTTCTAAAAATGAACTAGAGTCAAATTTGTAGAGAATGAGATTTCCTTTAAAATGTGTTACGTGTCAAGCTGTGTACCTTGGATACACGATGAGATAAACGAAATAAACCAACATAAAACGACCAGGTTGTCGACGGCCAAAAATCGTAAACCTCGCCGTTCAAATTTTAATGTGAATTCAATTCTGTAAAACTTTCATTTCACTGAAAAAAAGAGTAACAATGATTAAAATACAAGATAAAGAAAAAGATTTTTTTCTACATTTTTGTAAATGTTTAAGAAACTATTAAAATTTGCTGAAAATTTTGCTAGACAAAGGTCGCAGAGAGTTGCTTTTCCTTTAAAACCGTTTTAATTTGATTTTTTTACTTTTATAAATAACAACTATCTACTTCAGCGGGCCTTAATTAATTAAAAATTAGGAGGAATTCGTACCAGTTGGGGGGAAAGGAGGGGGGACTTTCTTTCCCAAACTTCAAGGGTTATTTGACTCGAACAATTTTTCGCCCCTGGTCAAAATTAAAAAAAGTATACACTTACTTTTTAAAAAAGGTAAAACTGATTAAATAAATTGTATGAATTCTCATGAAAGGAATTCGCCTCCGTGTTCCAATGGAGTAGGCTAAACCGGCAAGGCAGTGTATTGCCGAACTGTAGGCCTTCAGCGCCGTTCTTTTTAGCCCAGAATAGACGCCTAAAGCCAGGAACACACTTACCCGATGCTACGCCATTCGACGCTATCTGGCGTGGCATTTTTTTCAAGCGAGTATAAAAGAATTGGAGTTGGTCCGACTGGTCTGCCTGGCCATTGAGGGATGTCGCTAAAACTGTAACCAATACTAACCCAGACGCGTCGGAAATGTAGGTTTGTACGCTTTATTTATCTGAGGATGTGTCACGTTTTAAATCTGGCCCTGTAAATTAAATTAATGATGACGGCGTGAAAGGTGCAAATTACACAGAAACAAGGGTCAAAGTAGGCCCGAGAAAGAGGGCAAGTTTAGCAGTTCACACATATGACGTTTAATCGGGGATTCAGAAAATATTTTAATTCATTTCATACGGAGTGAGAGATTATTATTGGGAAGTAGTTGAACTACTACTGAACTACGAGAGTACAAATGAATTTTTCATTTTACAAATGTACTCATACAACGATAAATAACAATAAAAAATACATGACAAAACTTTTTAGTTCACCAATATGACGTCACAATCTGGGAGTAAAGCCAGAAACACACTTACCCGATGCTACGCCATGCGACGCTACCCGACGCAAATCCAACCTTCGATTTTCCATAAGGTTGCATTACCCCCGTGCACATCTACCCGATGCTATGCCACGCTAACCTACCCGACGCTCTGCGATCCCCCCAGATTTTCGTCGGGTCGCATCGAGTACAGTCGAAGACAAAAGAACCGGACACTCATATTTTTATTCAAACTACATGTATTATTGTCGTTATATTAATTACAACATACTTATTTTCATATAAACCAAATTAACTGTGATTAAATGTTCATTGGTTTTTATTTAAAAAATTAATTTTAATGGTTTGGTAGAAAATTAATCAAAACACCGGAATACGATTTTTTGTATAATAAATTTAACTAACAATTTATTGTACTCGCTTCGGCTGATCTTTTTCCACAGATTCTCGGCGTACAACGAAATGATGACAGTCATGGCTCTCCAACCGCAATCAGCACAATTTTTGGATGGGTAATTATGGGACCGACCTGGTGTGAAAATCAGCCGACAGATGTTGCCCTCATGGCTAAAACAACCACAGCCGAAAAAATGTATGAGCTAACGAGAAATTTATGGGAAATCGAAGAAGTTATGAATGTACCTAGACAAGATCTATTGAACGTGAAGTGCGAGTCACATTTTAAAGAAAGTCACTCCCGCGATACAACGGGAAGATACATCGTGCATCTTCCCTTCCGGACTCCCCCACCGGAGTTCACAGAGTCCCGCTCTATAGCAACCCACCGCTTTTATCACTTGGAAAATAAATTTAAGAGGGATTTCACACTTAAAGAGGCTTATTCTAATTTGATAAAGGAACAAATAAAACTAGATCACTTTTCAAAAACTTATACTA